GGAGCGAACGAACGCCAGGTAGAATCTGGTCTGGACCAGATCTAATCGGTCACTGAGAGGGGGTTCTCCATGGGGGCTTGTGTGTGTGATGTGCAGCACAGGATGTGGAGCTCTCTCTGCCCGGTTGAACCAGCTCGCGGGTCACCGTTAATTTCGTTATATGAAGGTTTTCAGAAGATTCTCAAAAGACCTTCAGAGACCCTTCTGGTAGCTTCTACCGACACTTTGATGTTTCTTTCCAGTAGTTGATGATTATGTACAATAGCCTAAAACCTCAAATCTGACCAGCCCATTTAAAACTAGTCTGAACCAGTAGCGTCCCTCTTCTTGTTACACATTTGGCCACATCTTAGTTTGTTTTTCGTCCAGCCTGCATGTTTACTAACCCTCATGTCATTTCAGATCCTCCCACATCAGCTCTTGCCCGTCTCACTTGCAGCATATCCCCTCTTCAGCCAATCACTATATAATCCCGTCTGTTGCTCCCTGCCAGATTATCTTGTGTGTAAACCAAGTCTTCCAGCGTTTTCTTGATTAGTCTATCTGATCTGACCTTACCTGCCTTTTGACCACGTATTCTCTGCCTGCCCTGTTTCGGATTTTTCTGCCTGTCTGATTGCCATCCTGGTTCTGACCCTGCCTGTTTTCATCTACGGATTCTCTGCCTGCCCCTCTGGATTTGTTTTGCCCACTGACTGATCTCCCGGTTTTCGACCTTGCCTGAACTTCCAGTAAAATCTTGTCTCGCCCATTGTTGTCCCATTGAGTCGTGCTTTTGGGTGTTTTAAAGGGCTTTGATGGGCCAGTAGCAGGCTAGCTGTTTACCATTTTTACAGTAGATATGCTAAGATAAGATAACTGCTCCAGCTATCAATTTACCACCTACAGACCCCAGACGGGCATCAGGCTTCTCATCTCAAAAATAGGTAATAAACGAAATTTGGTTTCTGTTCTGGTGAGGACACTTGTTGGGGGTCTTGCAGGGGTTTTAGATTTGTCTGGGATGCGAGTCTCCACAGAGATATCTGGAGGGTTGGCTAGGCCGCAATCGGCAGCTGTTGTTGGCAGACTCTCTTGCTGTCACTTGACCCATCATGGTGTTGGCGGCTTGCCGATTCAAAGGTGCTAATTAATATTTACAGCCGGGCAGCCAGCTGGAGTCGGCTGTAAAAAAAACATCACAATTACAATAATGGAACAACCCGTAACATTACACCGCTGTCAAGACTTCATACAACCGCACAGGATCAGAGACAGAGGGTCTGAAGGTCAATCAGCTCTGGCACCAGCACACTGACTCTTACAGAGACCAATCCATTGATGCTCAGAACAAAGATCAGCATATGGGAAATGGACACATCTATGTGAGCAAGCAGCAGCCAGCGCCAGTGACGTACTTGACTCAGGGTGTGTGGGAGGGAGGGGCGGATCAAACCCCTTAATATATATATATATATATATATATATATATATATAAAATGTATAAATGTGTATATATGGATTTGTACCATAAGTTTTAAACAAAAATACAGTGCAAATAAATATATATTTTTAAGAATAAAATGTAATGAATACACCACATCCTCTTTAACTAAAAATAATATTCACTTGGGTTTTAATAAATGTACAGCTAACAAAAGTGCATGTGACATTCCACCATTGGATGACTTCATGTTTTCCCTTCAGGCACAGAACGTCCTCTGACTCTTCAGACTTCTGAAACACTTTTAAAACGGCTTTTTTCCCTACAGTAGGTCCTTCTTTAAGAGCTGTGTTGTGGTTAATCCTTTCCCAAAGAATAGCAGGCCACATATTAGTATTTATTGTCTAACCATCTGCTGTTATGCATCAACCGCCAAGTCAAATTCTGATTCCTGATTTATGCTCCAGACAATGACTCGCTTTCACTGGTGGCACTATAAGACAGGTTTGCTGATCACAAAGGTGTGTTGGATTCATACCCCGTGAACCTGAAATGATCAATCTGCAATAATTCAGTATATGCAGCTCAACTCTCTCTCTCTATCTCTCTCTCTCTCTCTTCCATCTAAATGCTTGGTCTCTTTACCATTTTCATGCCTCCCACTTCTCTCTCGCTCTCAACTTCCATCAACCTCTCTCGCCCCTTCTCTTGCCCAGCCCACATTCAATGACATCGCTACCTTACTACCCAATCACTGTAGAGGCCAATTTGTCACTGTCAAAGCCCCTGGCCAATCAGCTGCTATATGCTAATCCTCCACCAGCCAATGGTATTGTGCGAGTTTCTAATAGTGGGTTATATAAACCAGGCAGGCAGTGAAGCAGGACAAATGAAGACCAACACAAAGCTTGGCTGTTCACTTTATAATGTCGTCCCTGACTTTTGATTGAAAGGGGTATGCTGGGCAAGAGGAAGATGAGGTAGATTCATAGAAATGGAGAAATTAACAGTACACTTTTTCAGAAGAACTTAACCACATGACCGCCTAACACACACAAAGACAAGTCAAACAAAGTGAGTGATTTTTTGAAAGCTGATCCCCGGAAAGCAGAATGCTACACCTGATGTGATGAAAGCCAGATGACCCACTTATTTCTGTTGAGTCAGCACCTATTCAAAAGCCACTAATTTCACTGCTGCACTGCCACACTTTTTTTCTCAGCATGTGTTTTCCGTTTTTTTAAACATCCTTTGTGGCGGTGGCGGTCATCTCAATGTTGGCTGTGGACAAACACATTCACTTTTTAGACTAATTTCAGCAGCATATGAATAATGTAAAAGGGCAATACTTTCCATGTCCATCCATCCATTGTCAAACCGCTTATCCTGCACACAGGGTCGCGGGGGGGCTGGAGTCCATCCCAGCCAACTTCGGGCGATAGACAGGGTACATCCTGGATTGGTCGCCAGCCAATCGCAGGGCCACACAGAGACAGACAACCATTCACACTCACATTCACACATCTACGGGCAATTTAAAGTCCCCAATTGACCTGATCCCCAGAGCATGTCTTTGGGCTGCGGGAGGAAGCCGGAGAACCCGGAGAGAACCCACGCAGACACAGGGAGAACATGCAGACTCCACACAGAAAGGCCACTGGGCGGAATCGAACCCAGGACCTTCTTGCTGTGAGGCAACAGTGCTAACCACCACGCCACTTGTAGTCTCTTTATTTCAGAGATTACAGACTATAGAGTCTATCTCTCTATCTCAATTTATTTTATTTTTCAACACTGAATCAAAATAGGGCCCTTTACTCTTAAAGTGAGAACATTATCTAATTGAATTACTACTATGAAATACATGCAAACAATTTTTTTTTTCTTTTTTCGTGTTTCTGATGTGTTCCCCAAGGGGAAAAGCACTATCTTCAGGCAGCAATGTTGATGTGAGTGGTTTCTTTCATTCTCAATACAGTGCCTGACTTCATCTTTAAATCTATCACACTAATGTAAATTAATGAAAGATCACAAGTACTGTTCTATAGTAATAGGTGATAAAAGCATCTGCTATATTCATCTACCAATTCATTAGTGCGGTGGTGCGCCATCAAGACAAAAGTTGTCGCCCAACGTGGGGCTCGAACCCACGACCCTGAGATTAAGAGTCTCATGCTCTACCGACTGAGCTAGTCGGGCAGTATTCAGCGCCGTGGTGAGATTGTCTAAAAGCAGAATTAAACAAACACTAATAAAACATAATGGCTTCTATTCGTCCACTATACTAAGTACACAACGGCATGTGACAAACATATTTCCGCGAGTAAGGAGAAACTGAAGTCTGCCATGAAGAGAGTTCATTTCTCCAGCAGCTCTTGCCAGCAGTTACCCCGAGATTTCCAATCAAAACATAGCCGCCCAACGTGGGGCTCGAACCCACGACCCTGAGATTAAGAGTCTCATGCTCTACCGACTGAGCTAGCCGGGCGATGACGTTGCAGACTATTTGTCAATTTAAATACCTCAATATAATACATGCCACCAAAGCAACAGGAATGTATTCAATATATCTGTGGAGGCGCGCATTTCGCTTCATCGTCACTTGGTTTACCAGTAGAGCAGTTGTAGCGTTGAAGATTTTTTATATTGTACAATACATTTGTAATACCTTCCACCAACTACGTCTGGGGCATAGTTTGCCAACTCAATCAGGTAATAATTTTTCTGTCATACCAAGATACCACACTACAAGTATCACAGGCTACCACGAGGGGGCAGTGTTTTCTGACCGGCTGGGGGACGAGCGGGACATAAAGGGAAACGCTGATTGGTTAAGAAAAGGTTAAGTAATTTCCAAGACGGGCCTTTGTGATTGGCTGCTGGTTATAGACAAAGTTGAAAATGACAGGTTTAATGACTGATGTATTTGGTGGTTTGTAGTGCATTCGGGGTTTTGTTGAATTTTGGACATTTCTTCATGCAAATACCAACTGTATTCATATCCACACTGAACAAGGATAAAATCTCATGCCATAGAAAAATAAATATAAGTAAAAACAAATCATTCCCATGATTTCCATCAGAGGGCATACTAAATTAATATTTTATACCTTTAAATCCACATAATGAATCAGCTGACAGGTTAACTTGAATTATTTAAAAAATAATGAAATCATTTTATTTTTCTATGAAAATGTACAATTGAGGCAAAATAAAACAATTTGACTTCTATTGTGTTGGTGAGTCAGTAGCAGTGGTGGGGTTATATTTTTCAAAGGGTTTACCACATATAAAAGGAACAAATGGATCCTCAATCATTTTTATTTGTAGCCGACCAATCACATTAGTCCGGAGGAAAACCAGAACGAACCATTGGCTGGGGCGGGGGACAGGTACCAATAACATCCGTGACCACGCCTACCAACGAGATGGACGTACGGAGCTCATCAGTATTCGTCAGGGTCGTGGTCTGGCTCCTGCTTGGATAATGGCCACATAGAGCGAGGAATGAATTTGTATTTCTTTATTATAAATGTTTTGAGAACAACTGAATAAAATACATTAACAAAACAACTCATAAAGAATAAATGGTTCTTTAATAAATGTATTATCAATCTCACAAATAGTGGACAGACAAAACTATATCAGACAAATGTTTCAAAAACGTATAAATGTAACAAAATGTCTTTGGCTTTTTATTTTCGTTCTTCTTAACTAAGAAAATATTTAATATAAATCATTACGTCTCAGAAAATACATTATTCTGTATACACGTAAATCTTCATGGTCCCTTTAATTATATGTACAAATATTAAATTTAACTTCATGCGAGAATACCACTTTAGGAAAATAAGGTGTTTTACCGACAGTGCAACAGTAACACAGTGTTCCCTCTCACACATTTGTTTAATGTCGTTACATTCTTTTTAAATACGCTTTCAGAGGTGTTTGTGTGTATTTCTCCATAATCTAATTTGGCTGTTAAACGTCAAACCTGCATGAGCACATGACCTAACACTGCTCCCGAATCAGAATAAGCTAATTACCTGTCATACGTAATGTAACAAAATGCCATCACACGAGAAAGATGATCCTCTTACTGCCACATCAAGTAGCCGGTCCTTCCCTTCAGGCTTAGTAGCCTTAATAGAATAAATTAAAAAAGTTTTATGACTACAAATGTGCTCCAGACTAGAGCTTTCTTGACAAACCTAAATATGTCTGGTCCATGTCATTTCAGTATGGACCATTTTATCTGCTCCTTAGCTGACTGCAGGACCTGGAAAATATAGAAAGAATGAAAAAGATTGAATGTAGCATGATACAAAAAATAGAAAAACACCCCTAAAGTCGTAATAATCCGTGTACATTCTGCAATAAGAAACATTGTAATGGTACAAATGTCTTTGGGTTTCTTTTTAACCCTTTAAGAACAGTGCTGCAGTACAACTGATAACCCACTAGATTTCAGCCTGAGCCAGCTGAGCAGAGTTCCAGTCCTTCATGTTGAAAGTGTACAAGAGGGAGGACAACTGGAATACTGGTTCCACAAACTATCATATTTTAAAATACAAAACATGTATTACATGTGTAATATTCAAACGTATTTTGGGAAATCTGGACAGGAACTACATATTAAAGCGAGTAAAGGACCACATTGAAAGATTGTAGACAGGGGCTCGTGTTTGTCACTCCTCACAAACACATTAGAGCCATCGGCCTTCTAATTCATATGACTACTTGTCATAGCTACGTCTGTCGACAACACGGCAAATAAAATATGATCGCAATATAGAAAAAGAGTCTCGTTATCAAGTGTAAACTGTTATTACTGCAGTTTAGCCAGTTTTATCTTCCCAAAAACAACATTAGTTGTCATAGTTTGCGTCATAATGAAAACCACACTTCCTCCTCAATCTACCAGCAGAGGGCACATGGAGCTCTGATTACAATGAGAGGGAGGGGAGGCTCCCATATATATATATATATATATATATATATATATATATATATATATATATATATATATATATATATATATATATATATTTATATATATATATATTTATATATATATATATATATATATATATACACACACATACGTGGTGTAGTGCAGGGTGGGTTAGTAGAAACTTACATGTGAGGTCAGCGCCAGTTTTTCTGTTATGTGCTGTCAGGGTTAAAGCGAGAGATAAAGAACATCTTAGAGCATGCCTTTAGAAATGGGTGTGCAAGCTTGTTAGCGCTTCATCCATCATCCATTCACTGCAGTGGAGTGCAAAGTGAGCTAAAGCGTTAGCGTGAAGAATGAGCAGAAGGATGTCAAACTGCCACAAATCATGCCCTCAGAGAACACCAGCTTCCTGCCATAAGCCATGCTAGTGATGGTGATCGTCACTGATCAGTGACAATATCCACATGTTAATATCAGTAGAGATGAGGTCAACATGCTTTGTCAGTTAGAAGTTCTGTAGTACAGTTCAGTTTGTTCGGCCTTGGTCTCGCCCTGCCCAAACCGTCTCCAGTAACAACAGGACAGGTACGTTTTGGACTGTACCAAGCAGGTGAGGTATGAAAGAACCCCAACCGTATGTTTCTGTTAAAGGTGAATTGTGTTATTTGATCCAAAAACAACATGGCAACAGCTGCAATGTCAAAATGACTACAGGCACTTCTAAAACAGCCCATTGATGGAACCAAGGTACTAAAGAGTTGGCTTTAGAAGTGCTTCTATGTTCTTATCAAACTCTTGGAGTCAAATACAATGCATTAATTTTCCGATATCTCAAACTACAAAAATAAAAAAGACAGTCCTTTATTTTCCAAATAGTTTACTTTCCCACTTAAGGCATCAACAAGTAGTTAAAAGACAAAATATGGCTGCAGGCCTTTGTGGTGTAAAGTATTGCATTATTCAATACATTTGTCTCTGTACTTGTGTGCATGTCTGCATTAGCTCATAGGATCACTTACAATATGTGTGTATGTGTTGTGCAATTGTCATGTCCATATGTGTGTTACCTGTGCCACGCTTTGTTCAGACAATGGGTTTTCATCCACCTGTAAAACAAAAAGACACCAGGGTTCACAAGTGAATAATTAAGAATTCATGCAAATCAAAAGCAGAGCACCCGAAACATTGGATTAGTGTAAATACCATTCAATAGAAAGCAAAAATCAATCAAAGCTCAGCCAATTAACTCATATTGGTTTTAATTGCCATGCTACTGTTGGTCTCTCTGTCTCTGTCTCTAAAATTTTGTTTTTTTTTGTGGTGAATTTTGTTTCTTTCTGTGGTAGTTTGTGCATGTTTGCAGCCGATCGGTGTGCTCCACAATGGACCTCACGGGGCTGACGCGGCAGCACGGCGTGAAGCTCGCGCCGTGCTTCGCGTGTTTGGTGGAGGACTGCGGCCTGGCCGTGGGGAGGTTGGTGGGGCACGGTAGCGTGAGACTGCACGGATGAACCACGCGGTGGTCATCTTCGTGGACAGTGTGGAGAAGGCGCGCGAGGTGGTGGCGAGCGGCGTGGTGGTGCGCGGGGCGCTCATGCCTGTCCTGCCTCTCGCCGTGCCGGCTGTCAGAGTCACGGTATCGAACGTTCCGCCGTTTGTGGGGATGGGTGAGGCCCAGCTGGTCAGTCAGGTGGGTGAGTGTAGGAGTGAAAGAGGGAATGGGTGGGGTCCAACAGGTGAGTCGGGGAGTGAAGGTGAAAGAGTTCGGGGGGCGCTTTAGACTGAGGAAGATCCTCCTCAAGATCAACACTATTAGGACTGAGGGAGGCGTCCGTCCGGCTGAGGAGGATCCTGAGCGGTGGTGGAAGGGGGGGCTCCCACTGACAGAGAAGGAGATGCTGGAGGAGTTCAGATCGACTACTGATTAATTGATTATTTTATATATATACAGGGAGAAGGAAAGGTAAAGCTGGTAAGAGTGGGCAAGGAGCCAACAAGAAACGCTGTGGGTATGGGTCTGAATGCCCTCGCTCAAAACAGGGCAAACAGCTGCTTATGAACAGAACATTTGTTTTCCATCTGAGTTTCCAGGGATTCAAGTCAATGAGCAGCTTGTTGTGATTGGACGTTGGGAGCGACGGACAGTCATCTTACCCTGTAGTTGACCTTCTGTAGGACCTGCTGGGGGTCGCTCTCCAGGATCACCCTGGAAAAGGCGAAATTAAACATCAGGACAGCACACATAGGTCAAGGAGTATTTCTTTAATAACATTTATAACAGATTGCACCCGATCTCCTCCATGCGCCACCATTCACCACCAGTGAAATGGGTGCACCTTAAATCACCTGTAGACATAATTTCTCTCTTACCCTCCATCAATGATTTCGTCTACAATGAGGAACACTCCCTCCATGTTGTCCAGTAAACACCTGCGCTCCACATTTTTCCTGCAAGAAAAACAAATGATCCAGTCCATTAAGAGCAGATTTTGGGCATTTCGGGAAATGCAGTTATTCATTCGCTGGTTAACTCATAGCTTCACTGTAAAACTACAAAAATACCACATTTTCATATAACAAAGAGATGCTACCAGAAATCCCGAGCAAGGCTATTCATATATGGCTTCCTATGCTTAACGCAGAGAGAAGTGTGGTATGACTCATATAATTTCACTCTCCCAAAATGTCTAATGTTCCTTTCAATATCACAGTCCTCCGTTAAAGGCTCAGGTTAACCTTTTATGAAAGTGTACAGCCAAAATCAACATGACACAATTATTTGCATTCCCTAATAAATTGCAAACACTAAAACAGGCCCGAACAGAAACATTTTCTATTTAACAGCTTCACTGACTTTAAACTGCCACACTATGATCTAGACTACTTTATATAATTATAATAGCCTATTTTACATTCTGTTTAATAATATAGTCTCTCAAAGTCTCCGTCGCTCACACACTGCATTACTGCTGCAATGGTTCCCATAGCAACCACATCCGCCACTGGTTCGCAATGTGGCATTCAACAATGAGGCATCCTGGTGTTTATACACACACACACACACACGATAATCTTGGTGTTGAATAAATATCTAAAAGGAGGACAGGGTGTCGTTGCATCGTCATTCAGCTTTCCGTTTTACAATGTAATCAATATTCTCATTCAGATTTTTTTTAAATGGGTGTACTGTCTGATGTAACAAGGGGACTGTCCCCATGAGAGGCTCTGGTGATGCCAGTGCTTGTGTGGATTACAGTTAGCACTGATGATGAGGCTACACGATGAGAATGCTTGCCGTGCACCGCACAATATACATTAAGAAAGATATTCAAGGTATTAATTTGTATATTTTTAATTTTAAAATACCATTAATGACAATAGTTTGCTTCCAACCTTTTTTTATACTGGGAGTTCATACCTGAGGATCTGACTGAGGGACTCAAACAGGCAACTCAGGACTGCCACCAGCATCAGCTAGGGAGAAAAAGACAAATGGCACTCAGTTTTTGATGGTCGCTTGTAGGCAAGATTGAAGAATAGGCCACAAAGGAAACCCGTTTGATTTGGTATGTAACCTGCATAGATTAAAAAAACATGCATTAAACATGCATGCAAACGTGCATTAAGCAAATATTTTGTTATGATCATACTACAATGGTTGTTGTTGTATTTGAAAGGGGGCATTTGTCCAAGCATTTTAAAAGATAACACCCAAATATATTTATATCAAAGGTTGCTACAGTAATTACCAATTTAAGTAGAGTTTTCCCACAATGTACACATTCATGTGAAATGTTCACATGAGGTTAACGTATTATTACGGTTGGAACTTTACTGTAGTTTACGTTAGGGGATGAAATAATTTCACATTCGCAGGTCTTTAATAGTTTAACCCATCATTTATGTTGAATAAATTAAGGAATTCAAATATATCAATATAAGTATGGCTAGATTATAAAATTTAAAAAACCTCTGACTCAAAAGAAACGGACTCTTCACCAATGACAAAAGCTAGCAGCACAAGCTACAAATTGTAATATGTAAAAGAAGAAAGTACATTAACTGATAACAAACAAGGCCTCAGGCCCAATTCACAGCATTCATTGTCATAGCATGCTAAACACAATTGTAATTCATGAAGTATATTATGTTCCCACTGCCGCAAGGTGGCATGCACAATACCCTGGCCCACCTAAATGAAACAGGGCCACATGCAGTGATATGTCAAAAATATGTTTAGTAGTAGTTTTCAGCAAGGAGGCAGGTACTCTTCAAGAGTATGACGATTTCCAACTACAGGTTTATTGGTTTTGATTCTATAAATTTTGGTCAATTTTAAGGTTTGTTTCATCCATTCCAAAAACTGTGCTAATAAATGTGTATTAATCCGCTGTTGGGAATAGTTCCCAATAACGTTTTAACAACAGAAAGGCCACCTACCTCGTTCTCCTGAGGACTTCCCACTACATAGAAGAAGAGATCGATACTGCTCTTATAGACCACGGTCATCCCTTCCAGGAAAGCGATCTCATCTACAGAGAGACGGATGGTTCAGGATTAAAAACAGACATTATTTTAATCATATTAAAAAGTACATTTAATGGAACTACCAATATAAATATAAAAGAGGTTGATGGGGGAGGGGACAAATGGCACAAGAGGGAGGTATAGGGAGGAAACGGACAGGCGAGAACAGAAATGAGGAAGGGTGAGAGGTGCTTTAAGGGAGGTAAAGGCAGGACAGAGGAAGGATGAAGCGGGAAGGAAGGAGGGGGGATATCATGACATGGGAGAAAAAAGAGGAGAAAAGGAGGAATGAAGGTGGAGTTTGGAACAAAAGGAGGAATATACTGGCTGGGTGATAAGGAGGCCTCGGGCAGGGAGTCAGGTATCAGCTGAATGGAAATGTATTCTGCAGTGCAGAAACTCAACAAACCAGCAAATAAGCTTCAAGGCTCAAAGGAAATTAAAAAGTTCCAAAGTTCACACTAAGAAGGGCACTGCATGCTTAGAACCCCCAGGGACAAACTCCTCATCCCGTACACAGTCATTGATACGGGACATTGGAGATGGAGGGAGGGGGTGGGGACCTACTGTCGGCCTTGTGTGTCTTGTTGAAGACGTTCCTCTCAAAGTTCTTCTGTTCCTTCATGGAGGGGTAAAGCTCGGGGTCGTAGTACTGAAACAGACACACGATGGAGTGAGTGGGGGGGCTTTCTTTTTCAACGATGGGGCTGTGAGGAGGGGGGATTATGTAACAAGTGAGGCCATGATGGACCATAACAGAGTGTATAATCCTTTTTTAAGCAATAGCTGTTCTATGTAGTTACACTAGGTTATTATCATAAAATAAATCTAAATGAGCTGTGAAAAGTATGAACTACAAAATACTGTAGTTGATCACATGCCTTTTAACTGACCTAAACATCAAGTCTATTTCTCAAATTAAATTATGGCCATTCCCACCCTCTAAACGTGGTAAGTGGTGACATAAATACTTGAAAAACAAAACCAAACAAACAAATGGAAAAGTGGAAATGGAAAATATCATAACCTTGAATTACACGCCGCAATCATATGTCCAGTTTTCATCGGCAACGTCCTCGGTTTTGACGTTGGATTCTACGATGCATGAGGGGTTCATAGGAAGTACCACAGCTGTTCCACGTGTTTTTATCAATAGGAGCCTTACTGACTACCATTCTTTTGGTGAGTGGTATCAATCTTCTCTTTTAACTCCTTGTAAGAATGCAAATTGTTCTCCAACCTCCTCGAACCCCCTAGTCCTCCTCCCCCCTCCATCCGTCTTACCAAAAAAATAGCTGACATACGCTCCTCTTTCTCAAAGCCACCTCCTATTACTTGTGTTCCACCGACTTCCCCTCTATTGCCATCGCTTCCCTCTTTCAGCCCCGTTACCTTAGTAACCGCTGCCCGTCCGACCGCCTGCCCTCTTGAACTCATTCCATCCCATATTCCACAATCTATCGCTCCTGACCTTCTTCCTTTCCTCACCTGTCTCATTAACATTTCCTTATTATGTTATTTGGCTGTTTTCCCAACTCTCTGAAGGAGGCAAGAGTTTACCCACTCCTGAAGCAACCTACCCTCAACCCATCTGAAGAAAACAACTACTGACCAGTCTCTCTTCTTCCATTTTTGTCCAAAACTCTTGCTCTTGCTATCTTTAACCAACTCTCCTCCTACTTTAAATGGCTCTTATCTAGCGCAAGTTGTAAATCGGCTTATTTGATGAAATTGCACTTTGTTTCTTGTTCTTCAGAGTTTGTATCCTTATGAAATGCACTTATTGTACGTCGCTTTGGATAAAAGCGTCAGCTAAATGACATTGAAAAAATTGAAAACCGAGCTATTCCTTAAAGAAGGTTAATAAAAAAAACTATTTAAAACCCCAGTGGGGCTTTACTATGGAATCGTCTCAGCACATCAAGTCAAGGCACGTTTACCTTCACAATGTTAATTACTGATGGGAAGTCGGATCTGTGTATTGTAGCTCTTGTCATCAGTGTTTGGATGGGTGTCAATGGGTGAGTGATGGCATGTGGTGTTAAAGAGCTTTGAGTGGTCATAATATGTCCATTTAAAATTTAGGAATGATTAAATAATACCAATGCATGCTTTGTGCACCTTGTGAGGTCAGCAGTGAAGTAAGATAGGCGGTTAGTGTGCCTTGCACCTTACCTTGGACAGAAGTCTGTTGCCATCATTGTCGAGGATGAAAACAGCTTTCACTGTGTAGAGGGAGGGTTCCTGCAACAACAAGCGGAGACAACGTCTTTCACAGTCAGTCTTGCCGAGTAACGTCAGGGAGACTCTTCAACTGGGTCAGGTCCAATCCGACCCACGTTCAGATCCGCCTTAGTCATAGGGATAACGTACACTCGGACCAGACTGCTGTGCTTGCCTTTGGTCATCCAGCTTCCTTTTGGATTTTCTTTCCCAGATGCGTAAATGCTAAAAGACATAGTGCAGTATCCGTGGGAAGAGTTTCCAGACCCGAGGCAAAGTTCTGTTATGCACTGACTAGCATAGATTCACAGTCAGAGTGTATCACAGAACTTAGACCAGGAACTTACACAACATGCACCACACAATATCCCTGGGCTAGCATCACCATGGTTACGGGAGGATTAAGGGGACAGTGAGCATGAGTAACTGACACATTTCAAATCCTTGGATCTGACAGCCAAATTCTCTCCAAAACATTGCTCTGCAATCCAGAAGAACAGTTCACCTTGTGTATGTGATTGGGATTGAAATTAAAGATGAGATATTAAGCAGTGCTGTATTAAAAGTTGAACTTTTTGAATATATGTTTTCTAGGTCTAAATCTTATGAGTTAATCCTTTCTATACTTTAGGACTAGACAAAGTTTAGCCACAGGCTGCTGATCCCTGATCCTGATCTGTCCTCTGGGAAGCAGCTCTTTGCACAAAATGATGAACACGCCTCACCACTAAGGCGACGATGCGAGGAATCAACGGCTCCATTGCTAGCGTAGCAGCGCTACTTCATGTTGGAAATATCCAATGGTGGCAAATTACTGTTGAAATCAGAGCGGCTTGTTTGTTGTGTGGAGGTAGGAATTCTGAGGTGAAGCAGACGTAAAGAAAAGAAGCGGTTTTGAGTCTCTCCTATTCAACATGGCAAGCTAAGTGAAGTAACAAATGAAAAACAAATTGGCTGTTTGCTTAAAACATAATGATTTTCTCTAGAGTAAGTGGCTCGCAGAATCAGCCAAACCTGAAGACCTATTTAGACGTCTGGAGAAAAAACAAACAAATCATAGTATCTGGCCATTTGGACTTGGCATCTGACAGAACTGCATTTTGGTAGATTTATTTTTATGTCTACCACATCATGGACATGCAAGCAGCCCAAGGGGGAGGGAGAGAGAGAGAGCACTTATGGAAAAAAGACATAAAAAGACAACTAATGTTGGCCGTTGAGGTAGTAAAACAACTGTTTTTGTATCAGTAAACAGTTAAAGAAGCAAGTTAGAAGAACACTTACTTATCAGATGTGATCATAACATGCTCACAGTCCCAGAATCCTTTTTAAAACAATAAATTCTGTACTCTCCCCACTGAACCAACCTGCAAATTCAACTCCCGAGAGTGTGAGGAATTTTTAAAATCCTTGAGATTCGGCTCCATTTCAATGCAGAACTTATTGAGCCTGATGCTGACTCACTCATACCATCTTCACTATCCCACTTCAATGAAATCTCTTATAGATTTATAACGCACTGTTGCACTTTCAAAATCATCCACCTGTCCTTCAGACTGTATTGCCACTTGGTTTTTAAAAGCTGTATTTCAGACCTTATCCATTATTAAGTGCTCCCTGTTAACAGGTATTTTCCCTCCCAATTTTAAACATGCTACCGTTTCCCCTCTCTTAATGAAACTCAATTTAGATCCCTCCGTTTTAAGTAATTGTAGACCCATTTCCAAACTTTCTTTCAAATTTTTTAGAAAGGATTATCTCCAATCAATTGATTGCATTTATGAATAAAAATTACATTTTTGAGGCTTCCGTTCCCTTCACAGCACTGAGACTGCGCTGGCCAAGGTCACAAATTACCTACTACTTGCATCTGACACAGCCCTGTACTCCGTTTTAATTAGGGTCCTCGCTACGACTAGTTGTAGAGGAACCTATTGTATTACAAGCGATTATTATTATTATTATTATTAGGGTTCTCACTACGACTAGTCCTATTGTATTTCAAGGAATTATTTTTATTAGGACTTAAAATTTTGCACACATGTGCTCTTGGACATGCTCTACAAAAAAGTCAATCATGGTATGCATATGCACCTAACTAGATTTTCTGCCAATCGTGTTGAAATATTATTGTTTTGAGAAGATATGGGCTAATGAACTTCGCAAGGGGTGTGGCTTAATCTGGCAAGGCACATAACTTCCAAATGACTTGGCCTGCCCTCACCAAATTTATAACGTATGAAAACATTGAGCCCCTGAACACACCCTAATTTGTATATTATTTGAAGAATAGGGGGTGCTGCAGTTAATCATTGAAAATCTGCTTTTTTTCCCATTTTTAGCCTATTTTCATGATTTTTTAGAGTTGTAAAAGACTCTCGAATTCAAACTCCTCCCAGAGATAAAACCAGACTCTTTTCAAATTTGGCCAGTGTGATCTTGAGACTTTGGCCTTTAAAAATTGTAGTTTAAACATTAAACTATGTGCGCGAAGAGCCTTTTTTTTAAAAACACCATTTGCCGTGAAAATTGAAGTTACTCTACCATCTAATCTGCTCCATTATTGTTACCCTGCAGACATCCATATGATCATTTTTAATCCTAATCATCGCGCCACCTGGGGGCAACAGGAAGTTAAATGTTTTTTACTTTACACCCTGGTCCTCCCAGGTTAATGCTAAATGGTAAATAGACTGTACTTTTGCGCTTTTCTAGTCTTCCGACCACTCAAAGCGCTTTAACACTACATGACATCATTCACCCATTCACACCCATTCATACACTGATGACAGGAGAACCACACCTGCCCATCAGTAACTAACATCCACACACTGTAGTCACAGCTACAAGAGCAATGTTCGGTTAAGTGTCTTGCCCAAGGACACATCGACATGCAGGTTAGCCAGGCCTGGGATTGAACAGACAACCCTCTGATTGGACGACAACCGTGCTCCCCACTCACCCACAGTCGCCCATAATCTGATCCCTCTGAAAAGTTTTCAGGTAAGATTTAAGACCTTGATAATGCATCACTGGGAATATTATAAGAATTCGATAAATGGCTACTAAACCTGCTCAAATTGTAACTAAATGTGGCACACACATTTAGAGTCAAGGATGTAGTTACGTGATATAATGATTAAAGTTAGTAATTCGGCTCAATAGCGTCCTCTACAAATATTTATTTAAGCAGCACCAGCACTACGTTTGTCCTACAGGTCTGAAACTGTAAAAGTAGAAATTTGTAACACAAGTAACCTAAAAAAAAAAGTATCTTGGGATCATGCTCGAAACCGTAGGCCATTTAGATTTTTTTTAAATGTTTTGTGTGATATGCATATCAGGACAAGTGAATACTTATGATGAAGTGAATAGCATATGTGTCATATGTACTTAGCCTGTAGACATCTGTATGATAATTTTATAGTCATAGCGCCACATTGTGACACATAATTTGTAAGACTAATAATTGTACATTTATAAAAATTACCCCGCCCCAGCGGTCCTTTTCGGGGTCAATGAATTAATGGGTTTACATGAAAAAGTCGTCATATAGCGGGATACAGTCAGAATCTTTCTAAATACCGTGATATAGATTTCTGGAGTTAAACGACTCCAAATGCGCGGTTGTTATTATTACACCTGCCTCCCCAAACTGTGTGTGTTGCTGACCTGTGCTCAGGGCTGGGCACACTATCAACAAATATTCGTCATGAAGCGTGCAACAAAACTGTCTCTTGCACTTTTATCACTTACGTTTCCATAACCACTTGCTGTTATACCTGCACTGGGAATGTAACAAATACATCTTACAGGATGTCTTTTTGCTGCCATTACTAAATTGCCTTTTTTGCACTACCATAACCTCACTTTAAAGAAAAACTTATGCTGCTGCTGCTGTACGTGTATCTGTTTGTTTTTTTATATCTATATGTATCTAAATGTCTGTCTTTTTGTTGTTGTGCCTGTGCACTTTATTTGTTTCACCGTGGGAGAGTGGGAAACGTTTTTATCGATTCCTTGTATGTCTGACATGCAGGAAATTGACAATAAAGCTACTTTGACATTTGACTTTGACTTAACTTGGGCATTCCTTTTGACTCTGCGCTGTCCTTTGATGCTCAAGTTACCAAAGTTGTGCAGATCTGCTTTGCCCAACTGAAACAATTAAGGAAAAGCAGGTTTTTCCACTCACCTGCAGACCTGGAAAGAGTCATCCACGCACTCATCTTCTCCAGGCTGGATTATTGCAACGCACTCTATTCTGGCATTAGCAGGCGGAACATTCAAAGACTACAAATGATACAGAATGCTGCTGCCAGGCTTTTACCTTCTTTAGAATTGATTTTAAGATTTTACTGCTTGTTTTTAAGGCTCTGAACAATCTCTCTCCTGCCTACATCAGTGAGCGTTTGAGCCCGTATGAGCCCGAGTGCTGCCTGAGATCTCCAGGCAGGGCCTTATTAACGGTCACAAGCTCTCGATTGGTCGCTAAAGGTGACCGGGCTTTTGCGGTCAGGGCCCCTAACCCTTCCCTGCAAATTGAGACAGGCAAATTAAGTGTCCACTTTTAAATTGTTTTGAAAGGTGCTATATGAATAAAAATTATTAGAATAGTATTACTTGTTTTCCTTCACTCTGATATGTTTGATGACAAAGAAATATGCCCACTGCTCCAGTGTGGTTGGCTATGTGTAAAATAGAAAACCGACAGACAGAAATGTATGGATTCATTCAGTGCTTCTTTGTTTGATTTCCTGTGGAGTTTTCTCACCCTCAATAGATATCCCGCTTTCAACCAAAAGATTTAAATAACATAGATTGCTGATTTTTTCCCCCGGCACTTGAATGCAGCGTTGTTGTTGCTCACGGTATTGGCCTCCCATCCAAATCAACTCCAAATCCAATTCCATTGGATCACTGATGTGGCCCTATTTTCTCTCAGTGCACATTGAGTAAGGGATTTTTTAATTTTTTTTTAATTGGGAGACAATAAGTGATGAGAGGACAAAGTCTCTTAAAATTGACATTTTAAAAGATCTTAGTCATTTTCCTTTTCCGTAATCTTGATTTTGGATATTGCTTGCCTCACAAACTTGACACATTTGTACCATATCTCTATAGTAGTGGCTTTGGTCCACTTCCATTCCAGACAGTAATGGCACGTTCTTTAACCGGTCAACACACTGATCTGTTTGAAATGTGAAAATAACGTGTAATTTCCGATTTGTTGGCATGATGATCACCAACCTTTTTTGTTAATAATAAATAATAAATAAAACCATGTTGACAAACAATACTGATCAATAATGAACAATACGTTGTTTATATTTGCAAAGAGGCTTCACTGCTGAAGCGCAAAGTACTGAAAAGTGGCCCATTACAGTTTATAATGTTTGATTATTGTTACTAGTGTTCCAAGTCCAATAGTTTAATCGAACAAGGTGTCATCTATGTAATATTATCACATGTTTCATAGCCTATATGCAAAATACACATTTGTAACTTAACTTTAGTTGTATGTTATAGATATACTAGAGTAAAGCATTGTACTGTCGTAGGACTAGTACGAGTTAAATGGAAATACTAAAGCACAAATACAGTGAAAATAATTTAGAGTAGTGTAAAGCACTGAAAGACAGTGGAGAAAATGAACTGGAGAAGTGTGAGAGAAGAAGAATGAGGGAGTGTAAAAGAGAGCAAGAGAGAGAAAGAGAGAGAGCGACTAGAGTATGACGGGAGAGAGAGAGAGAGAGAGAGAGGAGTGGACGTGGCACCTACCCTGCTCTACACGTCAACCGATCCGTGCACACACAGCGCTCAGTACAAGCGGACATTTGAAAACACGCACGCATACACACACACGCGCGGAACCACATACATATACACACGCGCGCGCGACTCGACCCCATCGTGCGACTCGTGTCTCCACAGGAGAAAACGACCCGTTGGCTCGTGCTTGTGCCCTGTTGCGCTGCGCGCGGGACTCAACGTGGATAAGTGGATAACAGCTGACTGGCTGAGCCGGTCTATCGTGGAGGGAAGTTAACACCATAACTTAACGTTAACCAAGTTAGCGCCGCTAAACCAGCACGGACAATCCTCTAAACGACTAGTTTACATGCGTAGAAGAAGAAGAAACCCTGTCTTTCAGAAGCGCCGTCTGCACGCGAAGCACTGTGGTCAGGTCAGGCCTGTGCGCGTCCACGATCAGATGATATGGTCGAGATGGCACTCTGTGTCTAAAGAAGGAATCAACGCTATTTCTTATATTTATCAATAACGATCTGAAGCCTCCCCCCACCACCCGCCCTCCTCTCTCGGTCTCCCCTTCTCCCTCTACAGTATCTCCCACCTTCAGAACTGCCATAACGCAATAAATGGTCACGGGCGCAAATAAAAGCAGTACAAAGCTAAGCAATAATTCAAACACTTCCCAGGAAACTGAATCGCCCTAGAAGCTCAAAACTAAAGCAGACACCGCTCACCAGAGTCGCGTAGTCCATCTCCGCCGCCGTGCTCGCTCGGTGTGTTGACGTGGACAGTCTGAGCTGTCACACCGAGATCCCCGCTTTTCTTTTTTTTCTTTACGGAGCCGCCCGGGCGCGATCCCGCGCTGGCAGCGGCCAACCGGATAAACCCACAGGAGCACGTCTACAGTACAGCGCACGCTCACGAGAGCCTTTTCCTTCCCACTCAACAATCTGGACTTTCAAAATAAAAGTATTTCACTCATTTCCGAGGCTGAAGGAATGTTTACAGCTCACCAAATGTTCACGGCGTAAAATCAGAGCACGTTGCTGTGATATTCCGTGATTACATATTTATTTGAGTCAATCCCACATATACCCTCCATAAATGCGCATTAATCACATTAATCCCTTTGTCTACACATGTGATATTTTGTGCTAGTTGGGGCCAGGTGCTCGTATCTTGGTTTGCTGTTAAAGGATCTACGTGAGAGCAATTTGATGTCTCGGGAGCCACTGGCTTTGGGTGTGAGAGCCATTTGCAGTGACATTTCATAATGCATTTATGTTTACAATCTGAGGCGGTCTGCTATCATTCTGAAGTGAGAAACCATGTTTCAAATGTATTTGTTAAATTATATGAATCAAGATACAACATAGCTCACATATTACTTTTTTTGCGACCAGTCAGTCATTTTGTATCCATTTATTTTATTAATTACTATTATTAGTAGTAGTAGTAACATTGGTAATCGTATCATGTAGTTTTCTATTCATTCATACATCTATTTATTTTGTTTTCTTATTGCTCATTTTATTCGGTAGGCATTTTATTTACGAGTCAGGCTGATGAATGAGTATGTAGTTCATTGAATAATAGTGGTGCTTCCGGCAAAATAGTTGTCCCCCTCGCTCACGCCCCTTATTCCCGCCGCGTATTCTGGGACATTGAGTTTGTCATTGCTGGCAGAAAGATGGCAGGCGTGCAGCCGCCACCTCTTCGCAGTCTGAATGATTTTCTCCCGAGCTCGGCCCGGTTCGCTGCGCCCGATGTGCGCGACCTGGAACGCTGGAACAACCGCATCATCAACAACCTGCTGTACTACCAGAGCAACTGCCTGGTGTCGGCGTTGGGCCTCCTGCTGGTGGTGGGGTAAGTTAAATTCCCTGACGTGGTCGCCCCGCCATCCCGCCCCCGTCTTACCCTGTCGCTGCCTCTCCCAACAACCGTGTCGAAAACCGACAGAAGCTACTGCAGGCTAGCATGTAGCTAATGCTAATGATGGTTCAAAAAAATCAAACTCCCCTTTTCTGTGCTGATGAAAGTACTCAGAGATTTGACTTCAGTACTGAAGAAGCCTGATACCACTGTTTACCAAAGTAAAAGTATTAACGTATAAATATATATCTAAAGTACTGAAGATAAAGACCATGCGGTATGATTTTTTTATATGACATGTTTCTGTATTATAGTAGATGATGCATTGTCTTCATCCCTTCTAATCTTCCAGCTGGATACAGGTGGGGTTTAAGTGGATAGTGCTGCAGGGAGAGATCAATAATGTGTTATCTGTATCCATAATTACACATCATCCTTTAATTTGTATTTTTTTGTTTGTTAGTAATCTCATACGCAACTAGACATTTATGAAATACGCGTAACACAGTCAAAAACCTTAATATGTGCCTTTGAGGTGTATATGTAAGAGTATAACAGCAAAAGTTAAGTTCCACCTTTGAATTGTACAGTATGTGAATACATATACTTAGTTACTTTTCCACCATTGCTGTCTAACTGTAGTGGATGATGGATTTCAGATGCAACCTTAAACCCGGTTGCTGCTTCGTCTGAACTGTGCTCCTTGGTTCTGACCAGGTGAAAACCTCTGGTTCTACTAAGTGAAGCTGATTATGATATTTTTTAAAGCCTGCATTCTTTCCAATGAGCTCGAGGGGTCGACTCCTTTGTTTGTAAGTCTATGAGAAAATTACTCTCTTAATGTATTCTCTCAGTAAACATGACTTTGTTCTTCATCAATACAGCATGATGTTCATTTAGTAAATTATGGTCCATTCAGAGTCAAAAAGACCATAAAGCAAACTATATGCTTTAGACTTGTCTCTACTGGCGGCTACTGAAAAATCTGCATTTTAGATTTTGGGAGTTGAGCTGTCCAAAAAAAAAGAAAAGCAAAAATATACAGTATCCTTTAAAACGGCATTTCACCAGCTATTTTCCTTGATTCCTATACTTTGAGAGGGTTTGGTAGTTGCCTCCATCACCGTCTGGTACGCTGCAGCCACAGCCAAGGATAAGGCTGCAGCGTGTCATCCGCTCTGCAGAGAGGGTGATCGGCTGAAATCTGCCGTCCCTGCAGGACTTGTTTGCTTCCAGGACCCTGAAGCAAGCTAAAAATATGTAGCTGACCCCTCTCACCCCGTACAAAAAATGTTTGTGCCCCTTCCATCTGGCAGTAGGCTGAGGTCCATCGGGAGTAAAGGCTAGCGCATGCTTCTGCGTCTGCATCGTTGCGTCGACGCACTCGTTTCAATTCATGGTTCTAAAAGTATTGCGTGTGTTGCAGAGCAATTCACCTCCAGAACAACAGGTGGAGTAACGTGTTTTTGTTGAAGACGACCTAGAGAGTCACGTCTTTGTGTGTGGAAGTCGTTGGTTTGTTTATTTATTTATCAGAGAATTTATTGCCCCGTGCATCGCCACTGCTGCTTTTCATCACAGACACATTTGTCCCGTATTTTCCTTCACAACTTCTCGACCGGCAAGCCAACGTTTGCGGCGATCCATCCATGAATCCAACCCGCTTCTACAACCCGCCAATGACGGGTTGTAGAAATGGTCATATTTACACATTTCTTCTGACAAAAGTTCTTCAATCTGATCCGTTCTCTCGTAAACATTGTTCGTTTTAATAACGACATTGTTCGCTTTTGACGCAAGCCTAGAAAAATGGATCGACGCACGCAACCACGCAAGGAGGTGTGAAAAGGCACGCAAGGGACACGCATGGGGCTCTTGCGTCTGCTCGCTCTGAAAACGTAGAAGCATAAACTAGGCTTACGACCCCCCGCCACACGAACAGTTTCTTCCCGTCGGCAGTCGGGCTCATCAACAGAGCCCGGTCCCCCACTGACTGACTCAGACATTCCACCGGTCACTTTCTTTCATACTGCACACGTCACTTTCACTTGTCACTTTTCACTCGTCACTTCGCTGGTGCACTTTATTTTTTTATTTTTAAATATTTTTAACTTTAACTTTTATTATTTTATTTTAAACTAACCCATAGCCTTATACTACTAACCCATAGCATTATATTTTATTTTATTCCTCGTGCACTGTTGTCTTGTCGTCCACTGTCGTACTGTCTGCTGTTACGCACCAACTACCAAGTCAAATTCCTTGTATGTCTGACATATTATGGGAATAAATGTTTCCTGAATCCTGATACGAATGACAATAAACTCCCCATTTTCTATTTTGTTCCATGACAGCTGGAGGAGAGGGCAAACAAAAATGGTTTTGGGAGGTCTTTGGACAGAAACTGAGCTCTTGGGCAGAGAAAGCAGATGTGTTGATAATAAGAATATCACAAGCAACCCTTTCTGTCCAGAGTCATATCCACCATGTGTCTTTTCTCCTAGGTACTTCCAGCCCCTCCAGCTGGTCGTCGGGGCTACGGTGGTCACCTTGTTGTTCCCGAGCTTCGTGTGGGTTGCCGAAAACCAAGCTTCCGTTCGTTGTTTTCGTAGAAACCACCCTACAATCTCCTTGTTGGCCATTCTCTTGGCCAGCTACCTGTTTGTGTTGGTGCTGGGAGGTGTGGCACTGTTCCTGTTTGGGATCGCCTTCCCTTTACTGAGTAAGGCAGGAACACACATACATAAATACATTACATATTCATTTCACCAAAGCATTTTCTTCCGCGTTGCAGTAGTTGTTTATTTGTGCCCCCCTGATATAATGGTGAAACACTGAACATACTGATTGAAAGTAAGTTACTTCAGCTGAGGTAAACAAAGCCTCAGCCAGCACCTGTGAAATTATTGTGATTTGAGTAACCTCAAGCCGATCCCTTCAACCCCCCTTTGCCTCTTTGCAGTGGTTCTGGTCCATGCTTCGGTGAGGCGGCGAAACCTGAAGAACAAACTGGAAAACAAGCTGGAGAGCATCGGCCTGAAGAGGACACCCATGGGACTCCTGCTAGAAGCCCTGGGACCGGAACAGGAGACTGGAACCTAAAGAGGAAAGGGTAGCGGGGCAGGGCATCCGAAGAGAAATGGATGTCAGTTGAGTGGAAAAGGTGAAGAATAGAGTTGTTAGAATGGTTGTTCAATTATAGTTAGGGCTTGTAAATAAAAGGGGGGGGGGGTGCCGCGGACGCTATGGCCGACACGGCTCGGGTGGGAGTGCGTGACAAGAGACCGAAATGCGTGACGCTGTATAATTTCCTGTTCAAAGACAGACAGTCCGTCTGTCCAATCAGAAGGGTCCGACCTCTGCTATAAGGCCCTACCCTTTCCGTAAGAAGTTAATTTAGTTGTTTTTTCCTATTTGACGTTGTGTTTTGCACTTCAGGGCCACTGTAGCTTTTCCCATAAATTAGAACTTTATCTTCCGAACTTTTCTCTAAATAGTTTCACTTGTTTTTGTCTTATAATCACTTGACTTTCTCATTCATAGGAACCGTGGAAGTATTATGCTCATCAACTCATCAACCCTTCACACCGGGAAGACGCTTTATTTGAAATAGTCTTCTATTCAGCAGAGCCGCAGGATCACAATGAGGATTCTCTTATTGTATTGATGTTATATGATCCACTGAAAATGAATACTCTTTTCCCTACCATTTAGTGAAATTCCATGTTGCATTGAAGAGTTATTTAAATAACATGCAGTGAGAAGGAGCAGGGGGGGGTGAGGGACAAAAGGAAGCAGCTCAGTCTAAGACTCTTTGTGGGGCATACTGGAGTTGATACAAAACCCATACAAGCACATGTGAAGGAAACACATGAGTCATTTCTAGTTCTTCAGCCACAGCCCTCTATTGCCGCTCTCTGCAGCCAATGAATGACTTTGAACTTACCCTTTAATTCCTATTAAAACTTAAATCCTTGTTTGACTCCGCCAACACAAACTTTTTTCCCTGTAACCTACTCTGGGGTTTCAGCCATGCTGGTCCATTATTCTCCACAAATAGTGGATGAAGAGGATTGGAATTTGGCTGCAGACATTGAAGAAGCCTATTGACATAGTTGATCCTCTGAGGTGTCTACTAGTTCAGATAGTTTTTTGATTATATTTGGAATTATTTCAACATTTAATAGATTGACCAGTGAAACATGTTTTGGTCGATCGTCAAGTCATGCTTAATGAATACACCAAGATGCCAAGACTCACTAGCATAGTGTTTGGTTCCCTGCTTCATTTTTAAAGGACAATGTTGTGTTGTTACATGTCATTAAGCTGATGAGTACTTAGAAGCAGCTATTCCTCTAAATTCTACTCTACTGTTTTAAAAATGTAATTCCATAGCTAATGATTTTGAAGCCGAGGCAGACGAAAGGCTGAAGGTATTTGAGTGATTGAAATTGAATGCTTCAGCTGCCTGTTATGGGGACGATGAAATATATTTATGCATGTGGAATTTGGGATGACTGCGTCACATAAAAACAGCCAACTTGAAAGGCTGAAGAAAGGGAGTTATATCAAGAGAAAGCCACAAGTGAGGTTGACACCGCTAGCGTTACTTTTATCCCGGTTAACCTATTCATGAAAAATAGTGAGTTAACAGCTACACCCTGAGTAGACTTAGGGACTTTTAACATAGGACAAAAGGGACTTTAGAGCAACGTATGTCCTGGGGATTTCTGTAAATCGCCAGACCTCTTGTGTGAAAGCTAACTGGTGTCAGTCTGTTTGGTGAAACATCATGCTAATTGAATATTATTTTTCTATGGTTCAACTTGTGACTTCATTTGATTATGTTAGGAAGAAACACCCTTTTGAATTTAAATGAATTATCTTTTCAGACTTATTTTGCTTACGGACTTTGTTCTGAGGTGAGGACTTCCAAAGAGGAATTCCAATACGCAACAATGCACTAGTCTTCAAATATCACCATTTAGCTAGAGAAAGTGGTATTTATATTTAGATCAATTTATTATATTGATTTCAGTGTAAACTTTAACAGTGGCTGGTCAGATACAGTTAAACAGAAATACATTTCATTACTAAATAATGATAGTACAAATTTAAGGTTTAAGGTGGAAACATAATATGTTGTTATAGGCCAGGCTGAGCTTTGCCTGGACAGGTTGCCTGTCAATCACAAAGAAAATGATATTACTTAGAGTTGTATATTACATTACATTACATATCATTTAGCTGACGCTTTTATCTAAAGCAACTTACAATAAGTGCATTCAACCATAGGGATACAAACTCAAGAAACAACAAAGTGCAATTTCCTCAAATAAGCCAATTTACAATTTGCTATAGATAAGTGGCTTCCCAAGTACAATTTAAGTGCTACAATTGAGTCTGTGTTGAGGTCTGAAGAGGTGTGTCTTGCGGAAGATGTGAAGGCTCTCTGCGGTCTTTTTTTTTCCAAGAAGTAAAAAACATATTTCGTATACACACTTGTTATTCAAGTTTAGACTAAAACCTTAATTCTGTGTAAAAGATTGCTTTTGCAGTAAAAGAAAAATCTGTGGCTTCCAAAAGACGATGTGAGCGTAGTTTAAGGATGTTATTTATGTTTTGTTGTGTTGTATACGTAAACCACAGACTGTATGTGGGGATGTATCTATTTAATATCTAATTAATAACTTAACTAATTATATATAGATCTATATAATTAGTGACAGACAGCTTTGTAGAAGAGTAATACGGAGACAGTTCTTTTAATTAAGGCGTCCCATTCCACAACAGTCAGTAGCTGCCGGGTTGTAAAAGATAATGTAAAAAAATACATATATTTTTTACCTTATATATATTATTTTTTACATCATATATAGAGATCTATATCTATAGATCACTCTATAGATATAGATTTATATTTATAAAAGATTTATAAAAGATTTAATATATATATATATATATATATCAGATTCGAACACTCCCACAAACGCAAGCACGCGCACAATGTTTTTTTTTCCAGGGAGGAGAGCTTTACGTCATCGCTGGGTTGCTCCTTAAATAGTCCCCTCCCCTCCCAGTTAGACGGGAGAAGCGAGTGAAAGCAGAACAGAGAAACACACGGCGCGGAACACTCTACAGGTAAGACGCACTCTTAATAATTAACATTGTTCATGAACATATCCGCTCAAAAGTAATCTACTAACATGTAATCGCAAGTTGAGGCAGTATTTATGAATAAAAGAAGTTCTACGCCTAGTGACGACGTATGTTAACTTTCGTCAGTGCGCTCGTTTTAAAATAATAGATAACCGTCCTTGTCATAAATAGGTGATCAGTGTCAGGGATGAAAAACACGGTGTAACCTCCTTCATATTCGCTCGCGGGGAGGACCCGGGAACACGATCCCCATGCATAACATATTCAGCTGGACTTAATAATATGTGAAACTACTTTTAATTAGGTGTATTACAGTCAAGAATATTGTTATTTTACTCCACTTATGAATATGTTATAGATAACACAATGTGGTGTATTGTATTCTAGTTGTAGTGAAGACAAAATAATCAAGCCAACTTCAACAATAGTATGCGACCGTCCACAACTGTTACACAACATACTGTATTAATATTGTACACAACCCAGACGCGTTGGCGGATTCAAAGGTCTAGACCCAGGAAGAAGTTTTGGCTTAATAGAAATAGAACAACACTTTTTATTTACCAAGACGGAAAATTGTCTTTGTTCACTAAAACAAAAAAATAAAAGCAAACAAAAACAGATCATAATGACGTCTTGTGAAGATCCTGGGGAAGACATGTTCCACTACAATATTATACGTGACAACAGTGCAATGCACTGCACTGAACTATTCAAACACTTTAAAGTTGGTGCTGCAAAGTTCCAGTCAGCTGTTCCACTGCAGCCTCAGCCAACAGGTCACCATGGCACCGAGGAAGGGCGGAGACAGCGACAGGGGGTTTCCAGGCAAACACTGGCATTAAAGCAAGGCGGCATGGGGCACAAAGGTGGTTACCAAACCCTCTAAGTAATTCCAAGTTTACTCAGAGAGAGAGAGAGAGGGAGGGGAGATACTAGCTGGTCTGTTTGCCTTAACTCCTCACACAAACTGTCACACATATTAACCACTGCCTCTGTGTAAGGAAGGCTACACTCACAATGGAATATTGACTCGGATAAGTGCAGTGGGGTTTTTCAGAGCAGGAGGGGGGGGGGGTCTCATGAGGCATATCAGCAAATGTGCACGCAGTAGGAACACCATTCACCAAATTCATAAACAAGAGTTGATCAGATTAAAGAGACATCTAACATATAATGTAGCCAAAAATAAAATGACACTTCCGGAGCTGTTTGCACATGTAGCTGTTGGCCAAACACACCGTCCAAAACCCTAAAATGCCACGTGCCCAGCCAGCCAAACTATTGAGTGACTGCTGAAATAGCAAGGTTAGGACTAACACACAGATGCTCACTCACATCGGTTGCTTGCCTGTGTTAGTCACACGCGATCTTCCTGGCAAAAAATATATATATGCAGGGGTGGAGCAGCAGTCAGATGTTCAGCGGGGGGAAAGTCATGTTTTTGCCAATGAAATCCGTCGCTTCCATAATGGATTAATCTACCAGGCAGAAAGGGCTGCCTCACTGCAAAGTAAAGTTTAGAATATAGAGCGCACACTTTCACAGATGTGGATTAAACATTTTTTCTAATGGTATTAATTAAAGATAGTGATCTCAGGAACCCAAGTTGTCATATTGCTTTCTTCTAAAAGTCAAATTCAGTCCGCTGAGCAGAAGCAGAGTCCATGAAAATAAATCCCCAGTGGGGAAACAAATTTGCCAGACTCATACAGACAACAGACACAGTCCAGACCACAACAGACAAGAAACATGTTACAAGGAACAAACAAGACAAGAAGATGCCTTATAAAACATGATCGACATCAGAAAGATGCTAAACCTAAAGGGTGTTCATTCTAAAATCGAACTGCTGCTGGAATAAAAGACCTCCTGAGTCGTTCAGTAGAACACCTGGGCATCCTGAGTCGCTCACTGAATGAGCTTCTAAGTCCATTAAAAACACTGTGCAGTGGATGGCCTTCAAAAGAAACAATTTGTTTTTAACTTGGCCCTTGTTCTCTTTGCTTTAGTGACCTCTAGTGAGTCCGGGGGAACCCCAATCACTGAACCAGCCTTTCTGATCAGCTAATTGATCCTATTTTTGTCATCCGTAGTAATGCCGCTCCCCCAGCAGAGCACATCATAGAAGACATAGCTAGAGATAGCTAAGATCCCCTAGTGTCCTCTTCTATGATGTGATCTGCTGGGGGGGGGGCATTACTACGGATGCAAATGGATTTGACCTGTAATTGCATAAATCATGATCATACATGATATTTGCCGTAACTTAAGTAAGCTGCTCTCTTTTATAATCAGGGAGAACGGCTTTACGCAAAGAGCAACAAAGATTTTTTCAGATGAATCTTGAGTTTCACTGCCATATCAGTCCTGGTGAGTGAAGAGTTCCTTCTTTTACACTGATGATCAGTTGGGTAAAACTGAGTATTATATTCCATTAGGCTAGATTCTTCCAAGTCTTCCCGACCAGAGCAATGGGACGTTATAATTTAAAAGAAAATTTAAAGAAAACATCCCAACAAGTATTAGAGGAATTCTTATTTTTGACTCTTTTCCTCAGGTAGCTTAGCAGTGGCTGACAGATCTTCTGGGGACTTAACATAAAGACAGCAGACCCCCGTTTCGGCAGCCTGATCTCCAAAACCTGTTCGTAAAAATGTATACGAAAATCTTGAACATACCAATTCGTAGTGATACATACTAAATAAATACGGACTGCAACTGATGACGTCACCCTATTCAAAGTGAATGGGGACCTGCACCCCGTAAACACACTTGCGTGAAGTCTAACGATGTAAAATAAACGTGTTATGATTGCATTTTTAATGAGAAATCAATGTTAAATTGTAAGAATACAATACTAACCCTAACCCCCTCAAAAAATCCAACATGGCGGAGAGATGTTCACTCAAGAATCCAACATGGTCCGCCATGTTGTTCACTCAAGGGGCGTGGTTAACCACCGCCAGTTCGTGTGTATTGTTACGAATTTGTATGTTCAAGATTTTCGTATACATTTTTACGAACAGGTTTTGGAGATCACGTTGGTTTCGGTGGTGACCGAGCTTAGCTCTGGACCCTTGACCCGACCTCTGAGGAACAGAAGAACATGTTGCACTTCAAGAAATACTTCACAGAGGGCCTCATCCAGATGGCCATGCTGCTCAGCCTCTGCGGGGTGAGGGTCGACATGGGACTGGAGCCCTACCTACCTCCCCCCTGGCACGAGATGATCTTGGGACCGACCTCAGCACTGACCCAGACACAGTTTTACAACCTCCGCAACCACCTGGGGGACGACCACGACCTGCACCCCAAAAACATTGACCTGGATGGCTTCTTCACGACGCGAAGGCTGCTGGGCTGGGTCCGCTCTCTGGACAGACTACAGGTGGGGACACACGTCCATTTCAGTCTTCATCTAAAGCCCATGCAGATGGAATCCGAATTCTGTAGTAGTAACCGTGAGAACATTCCTAGGAGGTTGACATTGTACAGTCTTGATTTAACAGAGGTTCTCACCGATCCTATCGTGATACCTTCTCTGCAGGTTCCTCACACAGAACTGGAGACCTGGCTGGTACAGCAGGAGGCCAATCCTCTTCCCATGGTATGTCCAGACCTCCTGGAAAGAGCACCAGTCGGGGGTGAAAGAGACCGCACTGCCCCAACTGTGGAAGCCACAGCTGAACTTGGTACCCTGCAGGAAGAAGAGGAGGAGGATAAAGAGGTATATTAGTTTAATTTACTCTGCATAACAACATTTAGGATGTATGTTTTAACAGTTAACTACAGCTAATCAGAATACATACCTTTTAAATAAAAAAAGGACGCTGATATAGATTTGATTCCCACAAGAGGAAATATATTTGAATGAAGAAATGGTTAGTTGATAACGTAACTGGTTAGAGAAGTTTTAAGAGCAGAGTTCAGATAGTGTTGGACATGGTTATGTATACCATGGATCAGCAAGTTCTCTTGACCATTGTCCATGCCATGCCAAGAGATCTACCTCAAAAACATTTGTTCATAGTTTGACAGTTTATAAAACAGCTGCCAAAGACACATTGTTGCCTTTCAGGCGTAGGTTTTTCCGACCAATGGTCTGCTGGGAAGAGAAAGAAAGAAAAAAATTGGTTTACTGGTAGAAAGTTAGTTCCTACAAATGTGTTTCTTTAACAAAAGTTCCTGCGCAGTCCAAATAAGACTGCAACTAGTATTGAAAATATATAATAGTTGCTCCGAGAAGGTCAAAATCATCTGGTTTTCACAGCCAACTTTATACAAATTTAGACACTCCCTAAATCTGTTAGAAGACCACTGACCCACCAACATGCCAGAGAAGTAGCAGTTTAAATATGCATTTATAAATCATGCAAAACTGAGTGTAACGTCATGCGAGATAGTGAGTCAGCACAAAACCTCACCTAACCACAACCAGGAAAATGAAGCAATACAAACAGTGCAGTTGAAATATAGCAGGAACACCCTGCTGGAGAGAATACACCTTTTATATAAGCACACAGAGTAGCCGCCCTGAACAGTAAGTCTTAGTGCTTCCACTGCAGTATTACGGTACCCCTTGAAAAATAAATGTTTAATCTCAATGAGACTTTCCTGGTTAGATAAAGGTTTAAATAAAAACGGTCTGCATGTAGTAATGTGCTTCCTTCAAACATTTAAAAGGTGAGTTTGGGTGTTTTTAGGTCTGGTTGTATATACTCCAATCCACTGTCGGCAGCAGTGGATACGGTGGAAAAGCAGACAGGATTGAAACGTTCTTTAGCCATCCAAAAGAAAAGGCCCAACCCTTAAAAAACAGACTCAGACCATTATGTGTGTGGTCTTTGCCAGTTTACCTTGCAGTGAGACAGTCTATGTTTCCGATGCGAACTGAAGTCATTACTATTTTTTTTGGTAGGGTCAGCCAATCAGTTTCAGCAAACATCCCAGTATAATTCAATGCAATGCAATCAAACATGTATTATTACGTTGCAGTTAAATAGTTAACATTTATTCCAACAGTTCAACATAATAAGGACATCTTATTTATACAATTCGGTATATATACATATTTAGTATATCATATAAATACCATTGTAAATATTATTAATATCATGATTATATTATAAGATATAAAGAAATTAACTATATTTATATAAAATCTAATAGAACGTGTATATTAAGATGCCCCTTTGAACCTAGTTGGCTGGGGAAACACCCAAAGTGTTTTGAGGAAAGACCAACTCCAAAGCACCACACAACTTCACACAATCAAATATTTTGGATAAAATGTGCCTGTTCTCCTCGTTGAGTTTCCTCACCGCGAGCCTGCGTGCGTTGTCCAGGAATGTTATCTTTTCCTAATACAGCGAGCTTGACGGAGTAGTCCAGTATGTCCTGGTGTTCTATCGTTTTGTTATTTCTTTTCAACAAGTGCTTCATGTCCCATCTGTCCATACTTTATCGGTCCCCGTTGATTTAAAAAGCAAGCATGGGAAGCAAAATACTGCATTATCCCAACTGCAACCAGCTAGCCATATATTCCGGGTGTAGCAGTCTCTACAGAAGCTTTGTATGTGCGGCGTCCCTTTCACTGCGGTCTGTTGTCTGATTATGAGGCCAGGTTGATCTGGGCCCAGTTGTTTTACAAAGTTCTTCTCTCTAACGGGTCTTCAGATCATTTTCTCAGGATATAGTGGAGAATAAAACCAAGCTAAAATACAATCAATACAGGACTCGTCTCCACCAGCTTTGCACATCTGTGAGCATTGATGGGCCATTTTAAAACTGCTTTGATCTAAACTATTCCATTGTAGCTTGGGCTGTATGTTTACGGTCATTGTCCCTCTAGAAGATGAACCTCTGCTCCAGTCTCAAGTCTTTTGCAGACATCTTTCCCTCAATTCTAACTTGCATCCCTGTACCTGCCAAAGAAAGGCATCCCCACAGCATAATGCTACCACCACCATGTTTTACTGTTGGGATAGTGTGCTCAAGGCAGTGTTGGGTTTCCACCACATAGCGTTTTGCAATGAGGCCAAAATCTGACAAGAGCACTTGCTTCCACATGTCTTATGGCAAACTTTTAACAGCAGCTTTCGTCTTGCCACTCTTCCATAAAGGCCGGATTTGTGGAGTCCACGGCTATTAGTTGTCCTGTGGCCTTTTCTCCCACCTCAGCTGTGGATCTTTGCCGCTCCTCCAGAGTTCCAATGGGCCTGTTGGTTGCTCCTCAGATTCATTTTCTCCTTGTCTAGCTTGTCAGTTTGGGTGGACGGCATTCTCTTGGTAGGTTTGGACTTTCAATTCAATTCATTTTATTTTCTATAACCCAAAATATCAAATTACATATTTGCCTCAGAGGCTTTACAGTCTATACACATGCGACATCCTCTGTCCCAAAACCCTCACATCGGCACAGGAAAAAAATGAAAAAAATGAAAAAACATTCCATGGGGAAAAACTGAAGAAACCTTTGGGAGAACGTCAGTGGAGGGATCCCTCTCCCGGGATGGACAGCCTACAATGGATGTTATGTGTGATCTGCATTAATAAAACGTTGATTATTGTAGAAAGAGAGAGTGAGAGAGGAGCTCTGTGTGTCCTAAGAAGTCCCCCAGCAGTCTAAGCCTATAGCAGCTTAACTAAGGGCTGGTCCGGGCTAACCTGAGCCAGCCCTAACTATAAGCGATATCAAAGAGGAACGTTTTAAGCTTTATCTTAAATGAGCTGACCGAATCTGCCCCCCCGGACTGAAAGTAGAAGCTTATTCCACAAAAGAGGAGCTTGATAACTGAAGGCTCTGGCTCCCATCCTACCTTTTAAAACCCTAGGAACAACAAGTAACCCAGCATCTATGTAGCGCAGCTGCCTTGTAGGGCAATACGGTGTTACAAGCTCTTTAAGATAACGGTGACGGTGCCTCATCAGCAAGTGCCCTGTAGGTGAGGAGAAGTATCTTAAATTCTATTCTTGATTTAACCGGGAGCTGCAGCATTCTGAATCAACTGGAGAGGCTAGATATTTACAAGAGCAGCCTGATAACAAAGAATTACAGGAATGCAGTGTATATATTTTATACAATCAATATTGTCAAAAGAAAATCATCAGAATCATACTGAATTAATTTGATTTGTTACTCGTGTATTGATTACATGCAAATGTTGATACAACTCTATTCCTCTATTTAATCACACTAAGTAGTCACATTATGACCTTTTCCTTCTAGAAATTTTCTCTAACTTTTTTCTCAAAATTTTCTCTAACCGGACCTCTTCACAGTTAAAGGCACTACTTAACACTTTTCAGATTTCTATTTGTAAATCATTTTGAAATCCATGTAAACTTTCCCCCGACTTCCAGGTGCTGGACTATTTTATGTTGGGCCATTACATAAAATCACAATGAAATACATTTGTGGTCATACCATGACAAAATGTAGAAAAGTCCAAGTTACTGTATATAAAACAGAATGAATGCTAACGTTGCTTCATGGTCAAATATTTGCTAACAAAATCATCATGTTAACTATGCGCTTTAAATGGGGTGGTCTTCCAAGTCTCCCAGTCGTTCTGCTAAAGTAGGCTTATCTCATTCTTGCTCCAGGTTTGTACCGTAAGTCATACAGAGAAACAAGAGTGGCGTCTGTTATCTCATCTTGCATATTTAATTAAAGCTTTTCTTTGAGTCAGCCAACATTGAAGGGGACTCTACTGATGTGGATGGTTGCTCTGACTCTGTATTAGGGTACGGCTTAAGTTTAATTTGTTAATAGCAACACCTCAGACATGCCTAGGCAAGTTTTGGCCCATGAGACGGCCCGAAGCACATACATTACCTTTCACATCTGCCACCTCAGACTGAAAATAATCTGTTGGGCATGTCATGCAGAAAGACCAATCTAAGATAGCTGAAGGGTCCAATACACTGTCTCAACAACATATCACTAGAGGCTTTCCCGGTGGCCCAGACCTTCAAACTATGACGCTAATAGGGTACCCAGATCAGTTGTGGAGGTTCAATACACAAATGGTGTGTCTTTACAAAATAAACTTCTGATGGTTTAGGCGACAAAACAACTTAAAGCATTAGGAAAAGATTGTGTTTGACGTTAACTCGAGTAACTTACTTGACCATATTTGCTGATGAGACACATGAATAACAACTGGGGGGGACTGAATGATTAAACGCTGACCTTAAGTTTTACACAGGAGACGCACATCAGCATCCTGAATGAAAGTAGTGTGTTTGCTTCGTCCCCAGCAACCAGGTTTCATCACTGTTATTTAGGATTGCACAAAGTACACTGTGAAGAAACACTCCCACAGACTCCATAACACACACACACACACACACACACACACATATAAATAGCCCCCAGGTTGGCTTTGACATGTACCCCCACTGAGTAATACAGAGTCATGTGCAGCAGTTAATCAGGGTTCCAGTTTCACAGCAACAGTGGCTACATTCAATGAGAGTGTGTGCTAAGTATTCTTCTGTAATTTTAATTTTGTGGCACTTTGTCATGGATTACACACCAGCAATGACTCCTGAAACCTCTGTGCATAATGGAAGTTTAAGCAACATAAAGTTATGTTTTAAGATATATCATACATAATTATACATCTTATAGCTACTGCACATTGGTTTTATTCAGCTATTATATTGCCATTGTGTTTAGTAGAAGAACAATAGTGATATATTGACAGTACTCAGTTATACTAATAATGTATTGACAATATCTACAAATATGCCTAGTTATGGTATTATTGGCAAACTGCTCGTAGGTCACATCTTAAAATATTACATAAATACTGTACATTTTCATATTAGACTGACAACATCTGGAGCTGATTTAGTGAAAGTTGGAGATGCCATGGATTCAGTTTGAGATGCGTGATTCTGTTTCCACAAAACAAAAAAGCTGCACATACACTGCTGAGTGGTTTGAAGCTCAGTGTCATCGAACAGCATGCCCACACACACACACACACACACACACACACACACACACACACACACACACACACACACACACACACACACACACACACATACATTCGCGCTTGCACGCACAGAGGATATTCAAAACTTGACAAAGAATAAAGATTTACATAAACATGCTGCACCACCACTTCCCTACGTCGATCTGAAAGTTAATGTAATAATGTTTTCTAACACTCCTTATGTATCCAATGTCATTGGAACACAGAAACACACACACAGCAACTTTATTAGCTTGTGACCAACTGGCTTGTTTTGAAACCTGATCGCTGGCCATAGCGACCTGACTCACATTCACCTCCCTTCAGTTTTGCAATCTGTCCTGTTTACTGCCTCAACACACGCACACACGCACACAAACACACACACAACCAGACAAAACCAGAGACTTGCATGTAAACAATCGTATACAAATGTATGAGGTGCTTACTTGGGCTTTTGCTATTCTGTTGCTGTGTTGCAGGAAGAAAACAGCAACATCTGCTATATAGGTTATAGGGCATACTGATCAAGTGTAAATGTACCATGTGCACATATTATATGATAGGTCAACAGAATGTGCCATGTAAGAGTGGATACATTGTCTGAAAAGCTAGGAACCTGAAGCTCTAGCCTACTTAACATTTGCGTCACTCGCTTGCAGACAAAGCCGCATTGGAGGGGAAGTCGGCAATACGTCAACGGCAACAAAACTTAAATCCTCAAAGGTCAAACTGAAAAGCTCAGGGAGAAAAATAAGAGATGTCTGGAGGAAGGTGCATCAAAGTATTTTAAAATCTCTGACTTAATTCGGAAACCATCAACTAGTGACAGAACTTATTGTTTTCTTATGCACCTTCAGCATATTAAATCATATTAATGTTCTTCAGCCAGCAAAATGGCTGAAGAACATTTTGCGGGGCTTCAGCCCCCTAAAATAGGCCTAACAACGCCCCTTGGCTCTGAATGCAAGTAAGTAGCAAGTAACATGTGCGTAGGACTGAGTCATTCATTGTCATCTCATCGTCATTTAGTGTCATTGTCACTGATACGGTCTATGAGTTTGTCTGTAAGCCCCAAGCTAAGACAGGAGAATGGTAGGATATGCTGCACAGGATAGATCAGATGTGTCCCCAAATTGCCACCTGAAGGGCTGCGTCTTTTGACCGCATTCAGAGGAGCTAATGGAATGGGACAGCCGATGCCCATAGCCTAAAGTTGAAGACAGTGTCCATCAGGATTAACTAAACATTCATACCCATTTATATGCCACATGTGTCTTGCCCATGGACTCATCAACATGGACAACCGGTGTCGGGGATCGAATTGCCGATGGGCTGTTCTAAAGATGGCTAGTGAGAAGAATAAAATGAGACTTTTTGAAATATCATGTGGGTACAGTGTTGATGTTAGGATGTCATGGTAGATAATCATAAAAATGAGCTAACCTCAGCCCTTTTTCAGATCGAGATACTATCTTGTAATACCACTTGTACCTCAGTCCAATGCAGGAGGGTTAAGACATAAGGCGTCCCCAAAGGCTTGATAATATTACATCCATGGAGAGTGTGCATTATGATGATATTTATTATCTTTAAGTTGGACAAACATGTCCCGAAACCTGCCGATGGCGGGTTTCAGACAGAGGATGTTGTATGTGTACAGACTGTAAAGCCCTCTGAGGCAAATTTGTAATTTGCGATTTTGGGCTATACAAAATAAAATGAATTGAATTGAATTGAATAAACAAGGAAAAAAACACTCGTATTTCCATTTTGGGCGACTGTGGGTGAGTGGGGAGCACGGTCGTCCTCCAATCAGAGGGTTGTGGGTTCGATCCCAGGCCCGGCTAACCCGCATGTCGTTGTGTCCTTGGGCAAGACACTTAACCCAACATTGCTCCTGTAGCTGCGACTACAGTGTGTGAATGGTAGTTACTGATGGCAGGTGTCACTGTGTATGGTTCTCCTGTCATCAGTGTATGAATGGGTGTGAATGGGTGAATGATGTTGTGTAGTGTTAAAGCGCTTTGAGTGGTCAGAAGACTAGAAAAGCGATATACAAGTACAGTCCATTTACCATTTACCATTTTGTCCTCCCCCCTATCACAGGACTGCTGAACCAAGGGAAGAGCCTCCATTTAACGGTCAATGGAATTAGCATTGAGTCTCACCTGTGTGTGTGTTACAAGATATTGTTTACCGATAGTCTGTCTCCCGCAGTAGTGGCGCCTGTCATGCTTGGAATCGGAGCTGGATGCTTAGATGTTAAATGCAGGATTGCTGGCAGCGCAGCACAGCTTTCTAACACATAACATTTACAGATATGTAGATAGTATGAATAATTATGAAAAATCCCATAAAAGTCAAAGGAAGGTTAATATCTCATTTTAGTTCATTTAATTAGTAACTTCATTTCATACTGGCATTTAAGTATATCAATTATGGAGAGTGCATTATGTCATTGTCCTTAGTTTTTTGGTTTGAAAAATAGAATCCACTTTGTCACACAGCACCACAGGTCAGAGGTCAGAGGAAGAAAGGCCATGTATTTAAGAGACCCACATGCTACTTTTGTCTCCAAAATTGTTTTAAAATGCATCTGCTGAAGAGGATAAATTGTAAATTGTGAAAACAGTTCAGAAAAGTGTACAGAAAATTATTCAGCATTTTCAACATCACTAATTCAAGGTAGCATATTCTACAGAAGAATATTAAGCTCATATGTAAATGCATTGTCTTTTAATTGATGAGAATTTAAAGTTACTGAAATTAGTATTTTCAGTTTCAGCAACCAAAAGTTAATGCTCCGTTGCTAGCCAGGCAACTGCTTTTAAAAGATAGTGTTCAGCCCTATAATATTTACCATGTTGACCATTGCTGTTTCACAAACTAGCATGCTAACGTGAGCTAAGTAGCATTTAACACTAAGTGCATCGCAGGATGATGGTAATGTCATTAGTTTTGCTGGTATTGGGCCTTCAGAAGAAAAACCACCATGTATTTATTACACATCTTGGAAATTGACTTATTTGTTGAGATATTTTAAGCATGTCAAACATTTGGTGGCACTCGTTCTGCTTTGGTGACCAGGTTTATTGGATTCATACCGTATACAGCCGTAATGATCATTGTGCAACATTTTAGTCAATGCAGCTCTCTCTCTCTCTTTTTTTTTCTTTATTTCTTTCTTTCCTTTCTTTCTTCAGACTTCTGTCTCCCTTCAGGAGTGTTTGAGGTTGTTGGAGGTAACCTTTGACGTGCCAGAAGAAGAACAGGTAAGGCCTTTTCTTTTCTCTTCAGTACTTTCTGTTGTTTCCTTTTTGGTGCACAGCGTTGTTAAAATTTTATTTTATTTATGCCATTTGTTATAAAGGTTTCCACACACACACACATTTTTGTTTTCTGTAACTTTCTCAAATTACCATCACAGTTGTTATGAATGCTTTGGATGGGAAATACTCCAGAGTAATACAAACATTATAGACTTGGTAATGTTGGTATTGGTATTTCCCCATGTCCCCATGTTTAAAGGCCTGTACCTGTCTCTCAGTTACGTGATGTTGGTGACAGAAGGAGAGATCTGGAGCATCAGCCACCAGATAGAGAGGCCCTGCTGACTTATATCACCCCAACTGGTAACCCTTCCCTGGACCTTGAGAACCACTGGCAGGACCTGTTGGCTATCATGGACCCTGAGGTGACCGGGAGAATTAAGGAAGATATATTGACATTTGGAAAAATAGATTAAGATGAAATGACTAGATGAGTAAGCCATGATACAATAAACCAAGATACATTTTCATGTATCCTTAATTTCCAGAATGCAGATGTTGGCATCATGACCTCATTTGACCACAGCTCAAATTCAAGAACGACTGAGACCCTCCAGGGTGTTGGGTCTGAAGCTGTGCGCCAAAACAACCATGACAACAGCATAACAAAGGCTGAGCAGGAGGTTCTTATAATGGAGACTTCCATGCACTACGGTAATTCATTCCAGAAGTGGATGCTTCTTGGACAGTACCTCTACATTTAAAAGACTCCTCAAAAATGGAGCTTGATGTTTGTTTGTTAATCTTAGAGACAGCAACTGGACGATTCAATTCTCAACAAAAAGGGCCAGTTTCTTCTTTTTTTACCATCCCTCCATCTCATGGCCGTCTTCGGCCTCCTAAACCAGCTTCATGGTTATTGATTAACTACATCTGCTGATGTGGCTGAAAGATTTGAAAAAAACGTTTGTTGTTTGTTGAGAATTTAAAGGAGCTAAATAAAAGTCATCGCTAGGATTTCCCACATGTGGCTCTTGACACGGCAATACTTTAATATTGCCCCTTAAAGGTGCAAGATTGTGAGCATTTTGATTGCTGCTCAACAACTCTTAACATTGCAACTCGTGGTAAAACATATCTGGGTACTATCTGGATGATGCAGTCCTACAAAAGTAAAACCATGACAATACTGTTTCCTCAATGTTCTATTGATGACTGCACCAAATGCAGTTTCATATCCTACAATTTGCAAAACATGCCCATTCCTTGTTTCTAGGTTTGTTGGGGCCTAAAAGGCAGTCAGAGCAAAATCCAACCCTGCTTCCCCTCACACCCAGTACAGAGTTGGATGACCAAAGTTCAGCCTTAAACTCAAGGGACACTTTGCAAAACTCCAACATGAATCCCTCGCACAGTCTTCCAGACCACACACATCTGCTTGCTCAAGATCCTTCAAAAGATTTCTACTTGGCACTAAATGCAGATGAGAACTTGAGTACCCTCAATATGATTCTGCCAACAGAAGGTCTTGTGGATACCTTGGAAGGAAGTGCATATTCAGAGTATCCTCCGCCTATGCTCCAGTATGATTCACGTGACTTGACACCTTTCAGTTTAACCCCATCTCCACAAGGGAATGCTGTGACTCAAGACCCACTGATATCTATATCCGATTTCTTTCTGGTTGATGAAGAAGAGGATCTTGATAATGAAGATGGTTTCCCTAGCCCGCTTTGTGACCTCTTAGAGGATGATGTCATCCTGGACGAGATGAGATTGTTGGACCTGGCTCTGGATGAAGGATTCAGCCCTGAAATGGCAGCCAAGCTGGAAGAGGAGGGTTTCCTTGGGAGTGAAATTGCCCAACAACAAACTGGTAGAGATGTTGACCACTCAGACTCTGGCGTCACAATCATGGAAGATCATGGTCAACCAAGGAGACATCAGGGTAATTAAATGGTCACAAAGTAGACCTTTTATAGTAACTATTTCTGACAAAATCTACAATTACCTTTCATTTAGGAGCCTACTCATGTCCAATTCAAGTAAGCCATATAAAACTCTTGACCTTACTGTGACCTTTCCTCGTTTCCTTCTTCTAGATGTTGCAGTTGAGGCGGACTCAGACTCTGGTCTTTCTCTGGACTTCAGCCGCAGCCCTGCTTCTCCATGTGCTTCTGAGGCCTACTCGTATTCATCTTCCTCAACCTCCTCTTCATCGTGTATGTCGGCTATGGGAAGTCCCTTTTCTTCAGACAAAGAAGAAGACACTGAGGAAGGGTTAGTTTGTTCAGATATGGAAGTGGAGGTGACCATAAAGCAGGAGGAGCTGGAAGAGCAGGAAATGGGGGCGGTCGGAGGAGGTTACCCAGAAGATGTTAAAACCCCCTTCCCTGCCAACTATGGGGATAACAAGCTGTATAATAGCTTTCGTTGGCTGGAGTATATCAGCCATGATCACTCGTACAACCAGCCCTGGTCATCTGCCTCCTCTCCATCCCAGAGCAAGATGTCAACCGAACCCTCCTTGCGAGATGACAATGCCAAGCCTTACCACCGCTCCCCTTCCAGACACATCTCAGAGAGCAAAACGTGGAGCCGGGATGAAAAGCGGGCAAGATCCCGGAAGATCCCTTTCTCCAATGAGTTGATTGTTAATCTGCCAGTGGAGGAGTTTAATGACCTACTGGCCAATTACCAGCTCAATGAGGAGCAGCTTACACTAGTGAGGGACATACGTCGCCGCGGTAAGAACAAAATTGCAGCACAGAACTGCAGGAAGAGGAAACTGAATGTGCTGTACGATCTGGAAGACAGTGTGTCGGGTTTGAGACGCTACCGTTCGCGGCTTCTCCGAGAGAAACAGGAAGCCTTGAAGAACCTGCAGGAAAGGAAGCGCCAACTGGGCGTGTTGTACCAGGATATCTTTTCCAGGCTAAGGGATGACGACGGGATGCCACTGAGCGCTATGGAGTACCTGCTTCATTTTGGGTCCGACGGTAACATATCAGTAGTTTCACACCAGCAAGGGGCACCGCAACCACTGACAAAAAACACCAAGAAACTGAGGCACAAGAAAAAGTGAGACTTGGACAAATTCTGGCTCCAGCCATATTCTGGCTTCAGAATCTTAGGGCATTAACAGGAGTGGGCTCTAACCACAAACAAAGCAGGACATACTGATGCGATGGTAGATGAAGAGATACAGGAATTCTTGATCTGTGTCAGTGGAGGATGCTGAAAGGTACCATGAAATAGATATCATGCCCATATAGATATCACGATAGTTTGTTAGTGTTTTTTTATTTAAAAATATAGTGGGTGGCTAGGTTAAAAAAGATCTATGCTACTACATATTTGGATGAAAACAACAGACTACAGATGACCTGTGACCAGTACTTCAAAATGCTAGTTTGATGCCTATGCACAATGCATCTTGAACATACTGAGCTGAACAAGATAGCTGACGGATTGGAAAGGTGGATCGTGGCTGTCGGTGATATAGCCTCTGGGCCATTAAGAAAGGGGTGCTGGATCACAGAAAGGAAAGTTGTGATGATACCCGCTTAAACTGGCAAGGCTCTCACTCAAAGACACTTCAGCAGGCTTAACACAGTGGCCCATGGAGATTAAACCTGTGTCTTTTTCCAGATGGTGCAGTAACCACAGACCGACCCGATGCGGAAATGAACCATTCTATTTTCCAAAACTTCCATTTAAAAGAGAAGCCTTTGAAATTCTACTAGGAGAGAAAATATGCCAGCTTGACATATCTTGGATATGGATTAGCCTTGGATCTTGGATTAGCACAGATGTATTGGATATTTGTTCTTGTTTTAGGAGTACCACTCCTGCTTGACTGACTTTGAAGGTATCAAAGACAATTCACAAACAGAATTAAATGTTTTGTCAGTATAAGGGAGCTCCACTCATTCTCACAGCTGTGCACACCTGCCCTGAAACTCAGCAGAAAGTCCCATACATCATTCTGATATTCTCATATGAATAAATTATTGAGGAGTAAGAGGGGCCTGCAAGGATTTTTATTTAACGTTCTGAAAGCAGGACAGCAATTGTTTTACCTGTGCCTTTGCATGTGTGTTTTTTATTTTTATTTGATGTATTTTCAACAAATATTTGTGGAAATCCTATTGTCTATTTCAAATAAAATGGGTGGAATCTGTATGTCAAATGTGGTTGACGGCCAAATGCAAAACGCAGGATTGAAACCACACCAACAGTGTTGGTGTGGTTAGGGTTCAACAAATGTTGCCCTTACTGTAGAAAAGGTTATTTTCTTACTGTGCCGTTAATCTCCATTGATTGGTAGACACGTTTTTGCTCCGAGAAACATTTACAGTTAGCTAGCTAGCAAACCTGTTTCATCGCCTCCTCACAAGGTCCTGACAGCACACACATTTATTTATTCAAACATTTTAAGTTTTTTATAAACAAGTATCAGTTCTTTTCATTGTGCAACAGAGCTCTCCTTAATTTGTATCTGTAGTTTCTCATTTAAAACCTGGTTTTGCAAACTCAGATTAGAACTCATTTTAGATTAAATGTATCCTTGTTGGTGCCAGTTTGTATTTGTTTTCTTGCCGAACCAGTCTCCGGAGAGAAATTCAGCAGCAGAGGCATAAAACGTTAGTTTTTCCTTTCTCAGTGGAACATGATTATTTTACTCAAGCCATTTTAAGAAGGCAGCCATTAAAAAAGTTACACCTCTTCAAGTGTGTTTATAGTTAGTACTTGATCACAACAGCATTCATTCGAATCAAAGTGTATAACCAATAAGAGGCATGAATTTAATCCTTAAACTAGTTTAAACTTTTGGTGCAGCTAGCTTTAGTCTGGTTTAAAAACTATCTTTGTTGGTGGAACCCTTAATGTTTTTGGTCAATATGTATGTCAAATGTCTCAAATCCATTTGAATGTACCTTCAGCTAATACTAAGGATTCCACTGTTACAGTAATAATATATTATATATATATATATATATAAATAAGGTCTCAGATCTCAGATTTGTGAATTGTCAATCAGAGCATCAGCGGCTTGATCCCCAGCTCCGCTAGTCCTTGCCCATGTGTCATGTACAAATGTTAGTTTGTCCTGATGTGCTGCAGGTGTCTCGGTGTATGGTAGCTCCTGTCATCAGTGTGTGAACAGGTGAATGAGGAATCAGGAAACATTTATTGCCATAATATGTCAGACATACAAGGCAAGTGGAAGCCGGTTTCAGCAAAAAGGAGCTTGATAACTCTCGCTCACATCCAACATCCAACGACCAGGAAAAAAAGTAACGCTGCGTTCTATCGGTAATATAGTACAATGAGGTATTTAAAATATGACGGGGGCAGACTGTAGAAAGCTTTTGGTCAGAAAAACCCCTTTGTTTTTTTAACATGAGAGGCTAATTTGTCATGAATATCTTTTCAGTTTGTGTTAATACACATTGAACTCTTCAGTAGATCCAGAATGTTGCAAAGGACTTGAGCAGTTTGTTAATAAGGAATTTATAATAATCTATGGTAGAAGTAATCATCGTGCGTGAGTAAAACAGGACCAATTGAGAAGCAGAAGAACAAACCCTTACGAAAACCCTTTATTGTTCAAAACAGACAAGTCAAATTAGATTGGCCATGACAGTGATGTCGCAAAGGGAAACTCAAACATGCAGCAGGACGATACAAGCTCATCCCCTAGATACAGAGAAACAGTTCAGGGACGATATAGAAAAGCTAACTGGCAGACCCAGGCGCAGGAGATTCCCGAACCCCTTCCTTTCATGGGGATGTATAACATAAGGCAGTCAGGGTGCAGGGCGTTATACTCCTAATACTGATGTACTTGGCGAAGAAATAACATCCAAAAAACATCTTGTATGTATAATGTAGAAGGGGCAGGCAGAGGGGCAGTACAGAGATACTTACGCACAGTAGTTATAGCAGAACACAGCTAGTCACATTTCATATGCTAGAAGCTATTCACAGCAGTGCACTCATGAAAAGACGAGAACGAGGACATAGTCTCACCGTCCTGTGACGTACGATTGGAGGTTTTGATAAGCTTATACACCCTGTAGTGGTGGGTTTAAAAAAAAAACTTTCTTTTGAATTGGAACCTTTGTAGGTATCTTCCAACACCTGTCTAAGGATTAGGGGCTGATTCAAATGATGACAATATTTTTTACAAAATGCTGCTGCACTTAGGGTTGAAACGAGGTGCTATCCAGTGGAAATGAACTGATCCATTCAAACACCAGTTCTGTTTGAGGTCAGCTTTCCAATAAGTCTCCAGCAGCAGAAAGGGGATCTGAACCAGCTGACCCTGGGTCTGCTCACGGAGAAAGCAACTATGCTAATTTTAATACAGCAAACAGAGAAATAGGCACCGCCTGGGCAACACTCAACACATAAAACATTAAGCAGATATCATAAAAAGAATACGAGTTACACAGCGAGGCGAGGTGGACCGCAGAGTGCTGAATGGTAATTTCTCGAGAAGAAGCTGGGTAAAAACAAAAACACACACACACATACACACAGACACCCGTAAGCAGTGTGTGTGTGTGTGTGTGTTGAAATGAGGATATGACGGGCTCCTGATCAACTCTTAGCGGTAAAAAGGCAGTGGTATATATATTTTTACAAGCAGGTCTCTACCTGGTCGCTGTAGGGGGGTGAAAGCCCAAACTACGGCGGGCAACGGCTCAGGACTCCCTTCAGTGGTGCCCACTGTAGGAGGTCTTTCTGAGAATAGTCTGCAATAATCTTAGGAAAGCGACTGGGGTCCTTCGTTGCATTAAAAGTGATTCCATAAAATGGGATGATTTGAGTCTGTACACTTGAATAATCTCATTACCTGTAACACGTCTTTCTGATTCTTACTAAACTGTGGTATTTGAGCCGCTACCACAGAGCATGAAACCTCTGACTAATAGTTTGACTTAGTTGGGTAGTTTCAATAAGATCGACCAGTCTTTGACAAACCGTTCACGTCAGATGGGTGAAATGTAGGGACGCCGTGTAAGTACTGATAAAAGAACGGCATCACTTAGAAAATAAATGAGCAACCCGGGCGGCACAATGAAAACAAATTTGTACATTTCCCGGTGAGACACAGATAAGGAGGAGAGCGCTGCTTTCAGGGCAAGAAAACAAACCCCTTCTCCTTGATCAGCTACGTTGGCAGTTCCATCCCAACCAGGTGGGACTTTCTCCACCTCCGTTGCTACAATCAACTAAACATTTGGTCTGTTTCTTGACCCGCATCTCAAAACCACCTTTTCTTCTTCGTATTTGCGCCGCCTCCTCCTGCTGCTGCTGCTCCACCACCACCACCACTCCTCCTCTAGTCCTTTTTCTCCTCCTCTTTTTTCTCCTCCTCCTCCGTGGGATAAGAGTGCCAGGTGAGACGTTCCTCGTAGAAAGAGATGACCACCTGGGGACATTTGACGTTTGCTTCCTTCGCAGGGACCAGATCAGCCTCGTCAGAGTTCTTCCTGTTCATTTTAATTGAGGAGACAAGAAGAAAGAGACAGATGCCAGAAGGTGGAGTTGATAGACAACAGGGAAAAAAGCAAAGGAGGGGAGAGAATCGAGAGAGGAAGAGCAAAAGAAGGAAGTGTTAGATAATGGCGGCGACTCATCATCATCATGATACCCTCCTACAATAAATACAAAGAGTATCTCTCGCTCTGATATACATATTTCATCTCAGTCCCTGCAAGACTAGGAGTTTGCCAGTGGTCAGTCTTAGCCAGATTTCCAGTTAGTGCAGTTCAAAAATGCATTCAAGCCGTGGCCGTTAGGGTAGGGCCGTACTCTAATGATTTCCCTTGGTCCACAGCTTTGGGGGGCGCGGCGGATGGACAGGGCACCCCCTAATAGAAATGGTGACCATTTAGACCAATGATTTCCATGACTAAACATCTTGTGAAATCTCAGTCTATTCATAAAAAAAGTCAGAAAATGATGGTATTTGGGGTATTGAGAATTTCAAAGCATGCACATATTGCACCACGTTTCTCCTACCTTTCAATTAGCCCCAAGAAAGTCTCTTTTTAGCAATTATCCACTAGGGATGGGTATCGTTTGGGTTTTTTCAGATACGGTGCTAAAACGATACTTTTACTTATGAAATATATATGGACTGTTAAGTTTACAGTATACTTTCAGTGTCTCTGTAAGCCGTAAGTGTATAAATTAGTTATTTGGAATATCAATAATTGTATTTTTGATGTATGCTCAATGTAACATATACTGAAAAGCATTCATGCTAGACTGACGCTTCCTGTTTCTAAACTTATTGACGTCATGATTGCAGCAGGTGCAACACAGAAGAGCTGCAAAAGGCAAAATGCTTTGCGGCGTATAAAGAAAAAAACGAGAAGAATCAAACCATCTGCTGTAATTCGCGTAAGTAAATGGAAGTCACAGTCTGCAGCTCAATTTCAGCTACTCCCTCGGTTCACAACTTGAGTGTGTTGTAGGGGGGTGGACCAGACGATGGGAGGGGAGGGGGGTGGGGGTAGTCGTTGGGGACGCGTTGGTGGGAGCGTGCTAACTTGTGTGCGTGCGCAGGAATGGGTGTTGTTTTTATGGCCACTGAACTGATCTGTTAAGGTGCGTTCACAATACCAGTATCTTAAATGAATTAAATATGTTTTCCATGACTTTTTTCCAGGCCTGGAAATAACCATTTAAAAATTCCATGACTTTTACAGGTTTTTCACGACGGTACGAACCCGGTTAATGTGAAAAAGAATGATTTTAGATATCTATACTGATATGGACCGTTTAATGTCCTAGGATGGAAAGGACCACACATCTTTTGATGGACATAAAAGTTTCAGTAGACACCCCAAAAATCAAAGTGAAAAAACAATGTGGCAGGCTCGTCCATTTTCTCAAAAAGCTTCAATATCGCACGTGGCCCCCACGTGCTTGTATGCATGCTTACCAACATCGGGGCATGCTCCAATTGAGACGACGGATGGTGTCTTTTGGTACGTCCACCCAGATCTTTAAGGGCATCATTGAGCTCCTGTAAAGTCCGAGGAGCAACCTGGTGGCGTCGGATGGACCGAAACACAATGTCCCAGAGGTGTTCTATCGCGTTTAGGTCAGGTATGAATTCCATCACCCTCCAGGTACTGTCTGCATACTCTAGCACCATGAGGCCGGGCATTGTCCTGTATCAGGAGGAACCCAGGACCTACTGGACCAGATTAGGGTGTGAGCATGGGTTCAAGGATTCTATCCAGATAACGAATGGCAGTCACACTGCCGTCCTCTAGCCTGTACGGGTCTGTGCGTCCTTCTATAGATATGCCTCCCCACACCATCACTGACCACCTATTGAATTCATGCCATACACTGATAAAAGATAAGTCCATTTTTGGAGTAATGTATATTAAAGTAAAACATGATTGTCTCTTCAACGTGGTGGAAATTCTATACAAAAAGGTCACTATGGCGCCTAGGGCTTTTACGTTAAATACTTTTTCTTGTGAGATATATTGCACCAACATTAATTGAACAGTATTAATGCAATTTTTGCTATTTTATGCCACTGAATAGATAACAATAATATCATAAGAATGCAGGTATGCACTTTCAAAGAACATTCTTTAAAAATTTAGAATTAGAATCTGAAATGTGAAAATATACCCTGAATAAATAAAACTAATGAATAATAAGTGCATGGTACACAGAACGGGGCAAAACATCGGACTTGCAATGCGGTAGGGTTAACAGCATGCTAGCAATCATCCTGCCGGGGACCTGCCATGGCCCTCCCGGCCAAAGAGGAGCACCTGCAGTCTGGAGGAATCGACAGTTGTTGTTCCCAGGTTGAAAGACTGGGTGGATGGGTTGTGCTTTAAAGAGATTTTAAATTAGTTGTGTTGCCACTTTTTGTTGCCGGCTCTTTCGGCTTTTGGCCTAAAGCCAAAATGTTCCCACACCGGAGCTGAAGATTGCGGTTACAAAACCAAGCTCATTATCCTGACTGGCTGTAGATTTTACGAAAAAGAACACGTCATAACCCAGTGGGTTCACACCCTGTCCGTGTCTCTGTGTGTGTATGTGTGTGTGTGTGTGTGTGTGTGTGTACCAAGAAGTACCGGAGCACCCTGAATGTGCTCGGCTACATTCCACCACTGCTAGAGTACAAAACTTCAGGAGCGCAAAGTCTTCATTTTGCTTCCAAATGAACAAAAGTAACAAAAGAAAGGCTCACCACTTCATGAGGAACATCAGCTCCCCACTGGAGTCTGTCGCGCCGATGATCCTCTCCGGCTGCAGGCCTCTCCCAAAACCTCTGGCCTTCTCACTCTGGAGACAGGAAGTTGACCGACACATCAGGGAAAACAGAGCTAGGTGCTGTACATGATTGACTAAATCACGTGTTTCAAATAGGTTTGTGTTTTAGGTGCCTTTGCTCACCTCCTCTTTCTTCCTCTTGCTCCCTCGCTCCTCTGAGTCCCCCGAGGTCTCACTGACAATTTTCCTCTTGCCCTCCTTCTTCTTCTCCTCCTTCTCTTTGTGTTTCTGCATGTACTCGGCAATGAGGTCAGGGCAGTCCAAATTATCATGGGGCTCCCACGTGTTATCCTCACTGACGACATTAACAAAATAAGATTTAGTTTAAAGACTCTTTGTCAGCAATTTTAAACTATAATTCAGGGGCCAAGAGCCCAAAGTATCATTAGACTCACTCGGAGAAGCCCTTCCATTTCAGCAGAAACTCCACTCTGCCCTTCACCACTCGGCGGTCCAACACTTTCTCCACCACATACTCCTCCTCTTCCTCCTCCTCTTGTGGTGCAGCAGCACCAGCAGCAGCCGCCGCCGCCGGTGCTGCTGTTGCTGCGGCAGCTGCTGCTGTAAGTGTTGCTGTTGCTGCTGCTGGTGGTGGTGCTACATCTGCGGCTGCAGGCTGCTCCTCCTCCTCGGCCTTCTTGCCCTTCTTCCCTGCTACGGTCGCCAGCTTGTCGTCTAAAGAGGGCACTCTGGTGGATCCAAGAGAAGGCAGGCAGAGATAAAAGGTGACGATAATGAAAGGCTGGATTAACTAGATGGAGGTAGAGCAAGAGGTAAATTACAGTTTGAAATTGGAACCACAATCTGCGTGGACAGCAACGAGCTAATGGTACGTTCACACCGAACGCGTCGCCAGCGTCTTGCGCCACAGGATTACACACAAAGTCTAAGCAGACGCGATGACGCTGGAGGGATGCGGATCTGTGATTGAGCAGCGTTTCTCACTCGAGTTTGCCGCAATTTCGGGCGAAGTCGCGTCAAACAGCAAACGCGAAAGTTGAAATATTGCATCTTTGGCGACAAAACGCCGAGGCGCTGCGGCGCGAATTGACCACAAATGTACCCTCCGGCTCGTTTGATGCGACACGTTCAGTGTGAACGTAGCATAAGATCAAACTCCGATAAAGGTCCGAAACATAAACATAAAGACGCGAAAAACGACATACATAAACATAAAGACGGGAAGACGACAAACATAAATCAGGAAACATTTATTAGCAAAAATATGTCAAACATACAAGGAATTTGTCTTGGCGGTTAGTGCGCGACAGTAGACAGACAACAGTGCACAAGTAATAAAATAAAGTGGAATGAAATGCTAATGCAATGGGTTAGTAGAATAAGGCTAAGGCTATGGGTTAGTATAAAACAAGGGAATAAAGTTAAAAAAATTTAAATATTAAAAAGTTAAGAAAAATATTAAGCATAAAGTGCACTAACGAACAAGTAACAGACAAGAGACAAAGTGACAAGTGACGACAAAGTGATGGATTGCAGTTAAAGTGGCATGTGCAGTGTGAAGGGGAGTGACCGGTGGAATGTTATAGTCAGTCAGTGGGGGACCGGGCTCTGTTGATGAGCCCGACTGCCGACGGCAAGAAACTGTTCGTGTGGCGGGAGGTCTTAGACCTGATGGACTCAGTCTCTGCAGATGGAAGGGCACAACAGTTTTGTCCGGGTGGAGGGTCGGCCGCGATCTTTTAGCTCGCTCAGAGACCTGGAAGCGAACAAGTCCTGCAGGACGGCAGATTGCAGCCAATCACCCTCTCTGCGGAGCGGATGACCCGCTGAAGCCTGCCCTTGTCCTTGGCTGTGGCTGCAGCGTACCAGACGGTGATGGAGGAGCAGAGGATGGACTTGATGATGGCCGTGTAGAAGTGGACCATCATCGTCTTTGGCAGGTTGAATTTCTTCAGCTGCCTCAGGAAGAACAACCTCTGCTGAGCCTTCTTGGTGATGGAGCTGATGTTCAGCTCCCACTTGAGGTCCTGGGTCATGATGGAGCCCAGGAAACGGAAGGAATCCACAATAGTGACGGGGGAGTCGCACAGGGTGATGGGGGCGGGTGGGGCGCTGTTCCTCCGGAAATCCACAACCATCTCCACTGTCTTTAAAGCGTTGAGCTCCAGGTTGTTCTGGCTGCACCACGACACCAGATGGTCAGACTCCCACCTGTAGGTGGACTCGTCCCCACCAGAGATTAGTCCAAGGGAGTTGGTGTCATCCGCAAACTTCAGGAGCTTGACTGACTGGTGACTGGAGGTGCAGCTGTTGGTGTACAGGGAGAAGAGCAGAGGGGAAAGAACGCAGCCTTGGGGGGAACCGGTGCTGATGGTCCGAGAGGCTGAGACATGTTTCCCCAGCTTCACGTGCTGCTTCCTGTCAGACAGAAAGTCAGTGATCCACTTGCAGGTGGAGTCGGGCACGTGCAGCTGGGAGAGTTTGTCCTGCAGCAGAGACGGGATGATGGTGTTGAAAGCAGAGCTGAAGTCCACAAACATGATCCTGGCGTAGGTTCCTGGGGAGTCCAGATGCTGGAGGATGTAGTGGAGGGCCATGTTGACAGCATCGTCCACAGACCTGTTGGCTCTGTAGGCGAACTGTAGGGGGTCCAGGAGGGGGTCGGTGAGGGACTTCAGGTGGGTCAGGACTAGCCGTTCAAAAGACTTCATGACTACAGAGGTCAGGGCGACGGGCCTGTAGTCATTGAGTCCTGTGATCCTGGGCTTCTTGGGGACAGGGATGATGGTGGAGGCCTTGAAGCAGGCTGGTACGTGGCATGTCTCCAGGGAGGTGTTGAAGATGTCAGTGAACACCGGAGACAGCTGGTCAGCACAATGCTTCAGGGAGTGAGGGGAGACGGAGTCCGGACCGACTGCCTTCCGGGGATGTAGTCTTCTAAAGAGCCGGTTAACGTCTCTCTCCAGAATAGAGAGGGTCGTTGCTGGTGGGGGAGGGGAAGGTGATATAGTTGAAGAGGCGTGAGCACCTGATGGGCTGGGGGAGGGAGGGGAGGAGGACTGCAGCAGGTTGGTGGAGCTGTGGGGGATGGGATCAGGACATTGTCTTTCAAATCTGCAGTAGAACTCATTCAGCTCGTCTGCCAGGCGGAGGTCATTCATGGAGTGGGGGGTTTTTGGCTTGTAGTTGGTGAGGTGTTTGAGGCCTCTCCAGACCGAAGCAGAGTCACTTGCTGAGAACTGTTGTTGGAGTTTCTCAGAGTACAGTCGTTTAGCATCTCTCACCGCCTTGCTAAACTTGTATTTTGCCTCTGTGTACAAGTCTTTGTCCCCACTCCTAAATGCCTGATCCTTTTGCAGGCGTAGTGTTCTGAGTTCCGCTGTGAACCAGGGTTTGTCGTTGTTGTAACTCACCCTGGTGCATGATGGTACACAGCTGTCCTCACAGAAGCCGATGTAGGAAGTTACAGCCTCTGTGAACTCATCCAGACTGTCAGTAGCAGTCCTGAAAACATCCCAGTCTGTGCAGTCAAAGCACGCCCGAAGATCCTCCAGCGCCTCACTGGTCCACTTCTTGAATTCCCTCACCACAGGTTTGCAGAGCTTTAGTTTCTGCCTGTATGCAGGAATCAGATGGACCATGACGTGGTCAGAGTGTCCCAGTGCAGTAAACACGGGAAAACGACAAACGCCAAACAAAACATGACTCCGAGGATACTTTGCAAACAGTAACCCCGACCACCTGCTGTGTAACATCATCCACACACAGATTAGCAGGAGGTGCACAAACGGACACACACGATTTGATTGGCTGCCTGGGACTAGAGTGCATTTGAAGCCTGGGGCTGGGGAGTTTGGTGGATACTTTTAAACGGACGGGGTACCGGTACCATACAATGGTTGTGGAAACACTGAATTAATTTCATAGATAAAGACCGTGGGAAAAAGCTGCAGGTTTTCCCAAATCATTCAGAAATGTCCTGTTTAACCCTAAATTGTAGAAGGTTCAAAGCAATATGGTTGTAGAGTTTCTGACCAACAGTGCCGTGCACGTGCAGACCTTTATTCTGTTTGCACCTTTCCCCCGTATCTCAAATTAAGCAATATTCACTATAAAACCCGATGGAATGATTAAAATCATACAATAATTACATTTCTATCACAGATTAGTGGACAAATATTTATCTTTAATAATTTGTTTTTTTACATGTCATATCACACAGAGAACCAGCATCATATTATGGCAAGTAGGTAAAGAGAAACGACCATGCATCATTACAAGGTCAGTCAATCCAGAAAGTTAAGAACTTTGAAAGTAGGCACTTGAGGATTCAAGTGCCAAACGAAAAGCATCAAAGGCTCTGCTGAAACTGGCTCTCATGGGAAAAAAATGTTTGACCAAAGAAAAAACATTTATCACTTGCACGCACACATACACACTGTAAAAACTGACTCATTTATTAGTCAAAGACAGACGTAGTCGCGTTAGTCGCACAATTTTGACTAAGCTGAGGTTTTTATCTGCCAGTATAACATCGAGCAGGAATTAGTCAATGTCAGTCAAAGTTAGCTAACGTTACCACTCGCTACATGGATAGTCAATGGTAATGCTAATGTTGCTACTCGCTAGCGTTAGCTACCGTTATGCTGATGACAGTCCTGTTCGAGGCATTATTTTCGTCGAGCAGAGGTTTTTAAAGGACTAGCAAAAACGAGCAATGCTAAGGTTAGCTAATGTTTCTACTCGCGTTGTGCTAGTGAGGGCAACGTGTTCATGTTTTCTAAATAAAGCTGAGAAAAAGGTAATGTTAAACTGCTTGGTTATACCAGCATGGGAGTTCTTCGCGCCCCGTCCACACGAACACGGGTATTTTTATAACGGTGACTTTTTTTACGCGGTTCGGCCTTCCGTCCACACGAAAAGGCATTTTGTGGGGCACAGAAACCGAACATTTTTGAAAACTCCGGCCAGGGTGAGCATTTTCAGAAACACCGGTTGCAGTGTTGTCGTGTGGACAGTATAACCGTTTTTTTTTGCCTTGCGACGTCAGAGTGTGCGCCATTATCCGCTGTGTTTGACGTCAGAATGTGCACCGCTAACTGCTTTGTTGACGATTCTGTGCAATGGCAGATGTAGCCCAAATCGTGCTTATAATAACTGTGCCGCTAACAGGGCTTCTAACATGTATACAGATACATGATCAGTTATATCACTATATTGAGGAACAAAGGCGTCAGAATGCAATTCTACGCAGGGCACTGCTAATGAGAACACTCGTCCCGCGACACAGACCCCCGCCACCGTCGGCAGTTTTGGACGAGACCCGGTCGGACCTCTAGTTGGTGGGACAACTTTGAGAACGAAGTTGTTGTTGTTAGTCTAGCGGAACCGGTAATAACTTTTTGCTAGGCTAGCGAGTGGTTCTTCTGGACAATTTACCGGGATACGTCACAGATGCAAGTTTTTCAGTCTAGTAGCAGCTAATCTGGCAATAACTTTGTATTTAACTGACTAGTTTATGGATCAATAAATGTGCCATTTTTTTAAAGAAAATGTTGTCTTTTCCTTTCATTTTCTTCTGGGAGTACACCAGAATGCTTAATTTACATGTTAAAATAGCAAAATTTGGCCGGGGGAGGATGCCTCCAGACCCCCCCTGGTTTCTTCCCTTTTTTCCCTCTTGTAAGGGTTTTTTCATTTTTTGGGGAGTTTTTCCTGTGCCGATGGT